TGTTTGATTACTTGGAAAAATCACATGAAAATTCCATGTTCATCAGAAGAAAAAAAAAACAAGTAAAATTTTATTCTGAATTTATATTTTTTGCATTAACTGGCCCATTAAGATTATTATTATTTTTTTTATTATGTCAAATTAGAAGAACCTGTTTCTGTCCTACCAAAATAATAAACCTTATTTCTTTAAATATGTTCACTTTTACACCCCTTATTTTAGTACTTTTACAGTTTTTCTCAGTGGCTTTGGTGCATTTCTCATAACACTATTTACATTTGCACAACCGTTAATGCATTTCTCCAAACAATTTGTCATTTGTGCACATCATAGTAGAATTTTCTCATTTAACAAGTTGCAAATGCTTTTGTACATGCATCAATTGCTTTTATACAACTCTCTGCTGTTTTATAGCATTATCATTTACTTATGTCATGTCATTCATTTATTCATTCATTTTCTTGTCGGCTTAGTCCCTTTATTAATCTGGGGTCGCCACAGCAGAATGAACCACCAACTTATCCATCACGTTTTTATGCAGCGGATGCTTTTCCAGCTACAATCCATCTCTGGGAAACAGGGAGAACATGCAAACTCCACACAGAAATGCCAACTGCGCCAAGGCTCGAACCAGCAACCTTCTTGTTGTGAGGCGACAGCACTACCTACTGCGGCACTGCTTCGCGCTTATGTCATGTCAGTCAAAATAAACTAAACTTGAGAATGCGGAATAGTCATTTAATATACAACTAAAAGTCCTCATTTCATTACTTGAGGAATTACATACAGAAATATTGAACTAGTTGTCAAAATCTAAGCAAATTCTATATATAAAAAACCTTCCTTAAAAGGTCTTCTAAAATGAACAAGTTCATGAATGATTTACAGACCTGTGTATGTTGTAGGTTCAGTTCCAATATGTAGTGCAATATTATTTACAGTTGTGCACAGCTCAACTTAAAGTGTAATTATTCTTTTGCACAATGCTGTGAATAAATTAGGGTTGTAAAGAGCAAATTCAGTAAAACTGTGAAACATACATATTCAGTGTCTTGTATTCGGATACCTCACTAAATGCAGTGATGTCTAACTTTACTGTAGTTTTCAAATGGCTGTGCAAAGACTATATAGCTCTGTCTTGAGCAGTTTCAGGACGTGTCACCAAAGTCTGACTTTTTTACATTGGAAATATTTACAGCGTAAACTGTCTTAATAAAAACATGACAAAGCCATTTGACTATCTTGTTCATAAACAATGGTGTCTGGACTTTTCATCTTGATGACACTGACACTTTCATTGACATGAATACTTGCTTTTGAGGAATGAGCTATCCATTTTGAGCGAGTGACACGCTTTTGCAGGTCATCAACTAAGTTTTGCAGTTTGTATTAATTGTTTTGAGAAATGCATTAACTGTTGTGTAAATGTAAATAGTGTTGTTAGAAATGCACTAAAGCTGAGAAAAACTGTAATATAGTCTGCGCCGAATTTTCTTTTACCTACCTTGTTCATAGTTTTTCAGGATGAAAGCATGTCATATTCTGGCTAATTGGCTATTTACATTTATCTATTCAGTGAAAGCTTTTAGCTGAAGCGCTCTATGTTATATTCTGTGTTGACTTTTTTTTTCAGGCAGTCCCTTAATACTGCCAGATGAAAATATGCTAATGCAATTCTGCCATGCTCTAAATGTTGATTATTTGATAGATAGATAGATTGATAGAGAGATTGATAGATAGACAGACAGCAGACAGACAGACAGACAGACAGACAGACAGACATATTAAAAGTATATAAAAAAAATGTATTACATCTTGGAAAGATAAACAGCCATTAATGTATTTTGAAATGTCAGATTTAAGCCAAATGTTCACCTTTGGTTATTTAGGTCATAGGCCAAATGTATTATGGTTGCTTTTGGTCAAATAATAACCAAAATAGTCTGTAGAGGGCTTCAAAAATGCTTCTTTGTCCTCACTGAAAGCACCTCTTTGCGTTACACTATGGCTTTTATTATTACTTTTTTCTCCAACAGAGTAGATCAAATAAAAGGACTCAAACACTGGCCTTTTCAAAGGCAGACTTAAATAAATGGCTCCTGCAGTTCAACACTGGAGCGGCGCTCTATAAAAGCTCAGCCTCAATAATGTCGCAGCGCCACAAACAGTCGCTCTGAAAGTGTCTGTATTTGTATTTGTGTTCCTGTGCTGCTCATTTCTGCCAAATTGGAAACTAGCCCACTGCTAAATTACAGTTAGCGGATGTTCAGATGTTTGGACGGAAAGGATATTTTTATGCTGAATAGTGGTGCTGGATTACTGCCTGCACTTACTGATTGTTCGATTGACTTATAATAAGCTTATAAGTAAATGCTAAAAGTAAAATAACACACACACAACTAGATGTCTTGCAGATGGTGTATTGTAAGGCTTTTTTTTTTTTTTTTTTTTTTTTGCAATATTGATTTTAATGATAGTTACTCTTTGTGCAGGATCTTGAAAGTAGCTGGTAACAAATCTACTACTCTGAGCCTGATATTTCCTCTGACTTTTTAATTAAAAATTTTAGGCCAAATGAAAATCTGTTATCGCATTGTTATTTCAATATAATGAAAGTAATATAAAAAAGACAAAAACAGCACCATAAAACTGGTCCATCTCAAACCAAATGACTGAAATTTAGTTTGCTATGTTCAAATCTTGGTCCATGGGTGTTTAATGTGTTGAAGTAGCATCGTCTCATTTGTGAGTGGATTTTGAAAGGAAATCAATTTAAAGCAACAGATTTTTTTATTAAATCCCTACATGCAGTTGGTAATCAGTTCATTTATGGATCATATTGATTTGTGCTCAAGCGGTACTGTTATTGTACTCACTTATATCAAATTATTTTGTAATTGTTAGAAAAAGATGGTATAATTGTTGGAAAAATAGTTTTTTTGTCAGAGTTCAGAGTGTGAAGAGCTTTTATTGAACAAATTAGACAGACTGATTGATTGATTGATTGGTTGATTGATTGATTTATTTATTTGTTGATTGATTGATTGATTGATTGATTGATAAAAAGTATATAAAAACTATTATTTATTGTATAACTACTATTAATTACTATAACTATTGTATAACTAAAGTATATTGGAAAGATTAATGTCCATCAGTGTTTTTTGAAATGTCAAATTTAAACATATTTTCACCTTTGGGTTTTTTGAATAGTTATTACCTTAGGACAAATGAATTATGGTTGCTTTTGGTCAAATAATAACCTAAATATTATGTCGAGGGCTCAGTTCAGACTTTTTTGGGCTCTCATTGGCCAGATTTTAATAGACAGACTGGTTGATGATTGAACTGATAGATGACTCACAATTTACAGTTAGCAATTTTCAGGTAAGACAAGCCAAATTGTCAAATTAAAATCTCAAATTTACATTGATATGCTTGGAGTGTTCAAATCTATAGTAGAGTACCAGGTGACTGTTTAATATGCATATTGTAAACTAACAAATAAGATGTAGTTCTTTAATGCAAGGTACACTGAAATCTGTTAATTAACACTTTTTCTGTATTTCATGATTTACCATATTTTTTCTGTTTACAGAATCAGAATCAGTTTTATTGCCAAGTATGCTTCACACACACAAGGAATTTGTTTGTGCGTATGAGAAAGTAGTGCACAATTATTGCACAGTTGGGTAATATTTAACTGTTTATGAGGTAGATGGTTTGAGGAAAGAAACTTTTCCTGTGTCTGGCTGTTTTTGTGGTTGGTGCTCTGAAGCGCCGACACTACGGTAACAGGAACAGGTAGTGTGCTGGGTGCGAGGCATCCAGAGTGATTTTGTGAGCCCTTTTAATCACTCTGGAAGAGTACAGTTCTTGAAGTATAGGAAGGGTAGTGCCAGTGATGTGTTCAGCAGTCCGGACTATTCGCTGTAGTCTATTGAGGTCGGTTTGGCAGCTGAGCTGAACCAGACGGTGATTGAAGTGCAGAGGATGAATTTGTGTGTTCACAAATGGATTACAGTTGTGAATTATATTATGGGATGTCAATCTACTGATCTGTCAACTTTTTATGATGAAAATTCAACTGTGCTTTTATCAAAGTGACTATTGCTAAGGTTTTTGTGCTTTGAAACAATATATTGTATAATAAATAAAATATAGAGAATTAAGTCTGAAAAAAACAGAAAAAAGTACCAGCAGTTTATTACCAGGTTTTTGTATCATAATTTACAGCACCAAACCAGACAAAATATCACATCAAACTTATACAAATTTCAATAAAAGTCACTTTTTCAAACATTTCCACATCAGAAGTTGTTGGAGGAAAGATCAAGGTCCCACAAAGCAATTAAAAAGCATAGATTGATGATAATAATAAATCAAAATTAATTACAAAATACAGAAAATTGTTAATTTACCGATTTGGTCCCACTTTATATTAAGTGTCCCTAACTACTATGTACTTACATCAAAAAAATAAATAAAATTTACTTATTGTGTTTATAATGTATTTGAGAACACTTGTGGTGCTCTTGAGTTGGGATAGAGGTTGGGTTATGGACAGGTTTGGTGGTATGGGTAGGTTTAAGGGTAGGTTAAGGTGTAAGGAATGGTCAACAGTGTATTTACAAATGTAATTACAAAAGTTAATTACAGATGTAATTACATACATGTATTTAATCAAGCATATGTACACAGTAAATACATGTATTTACATAATAAGTACATTGTAACAAACTATTAATTCCTATGTAAGTACATATTAGTTAGGGCCACTTAATATAAAGTGGGACCACAGATTTTTCTTACAATGTACATTTATGCATGCATTATTAGATGCTTTTATTCAAAGACATTTTTTGTAGTGTCATGTAATGTTTGAAGAATTCTAGAGGAAAATTTGGAGGAAAGTGTTAACAGTAAAAAAGTTAGGAATTGTTCAATTAATTGCATTATTTAAAAGTTTTTTTTAAATCAATGGCTCTGTCTCTCTTCAGCTGCTGTCAGCGACCCGGAGTCTGCGCTACGAGTGGACGACGCTCACTGCAGTTCAGTGGTGCTGACGCCCATATCAGAGGTTTCGTCTGCTGACCTGTGCGCATCCTCTCCTCACTCGCAGCACCCCGACGCTCTCCTGGAACCCAGCGGAGACACAAGCCCTCCTCCACAGGACAGCCCTGCAGCAGACACACCGGCAGAGAAGGAGCCCAAAAAGTCCAAACAACACCTGCACTGCCCCATCTGCAAAGTCACGGTCAACTCCAGCATTCAGATGGAGGCTCACAATAGTGGTATGTAGCCTTTTTCTAGACCTGTTTAAAGACAAGATACTGCAGGCAAGTTTTTACTAGCACTAATACGTTTTTGGTTTGAGATTTTTTGGCTTGTCATCAAGTCTTTGTTTTTTCAGTCTAGCTTAAAACATGTACCACAGGTTTAAAATATAGTTGAGGTGGTAGCCGGATTGAAACCTTTTACAGCACATAAATGGTCAACTGCATGCGACAAACATATTGAGCCATGTGCACCCTCAGACAGGGTGCTCTCTCTCTCTCTCTCTCTCTCTCTCTCTGTCAAGTTGTTTTAGTAGCATGACATGTTACATCAGGGGTCTCAAACTCAATTTACCTGGGGGCCGCAGGAGGCAAAGTCTGGGTGAGGCTGGGCCGCATAAGGGATTTCACAAAAAAAAAGTCCTCAAATGCCATTATTAACAGTTTTAATTATTTCTTCTGAACATGAAGTGTCCTGAACATTAATAGAACATTGAGTGAAGATTATGAACAGTTCTTCTGAACATGGCATCTTTTGCCTACTCCTTACTGCCAGAGACTTGACAGCACTTCTTCTCACAAATCTGAACCACATTTGGCTTTAGAGCGGAAGCAGTTGAGACCCTCAGTATGGCTTGAAGATGATCATTATTAAGTCTAGACCTGTACTTTGACTTATTGAAGTTCAAGGTGGAGAATAACTTCTCACACAAATATGTGCTCCCAAAAAGACCTAGTCCTAGGGAAAAAAGTGGGGGAACTAACTCAAAACTTCCATTCCCTCACCTAAAAAAAGGCGCATGTATAAATAAAACACCCCCACCCCACTCCAGTCACATCAGTCTGTACCAGTCTGTATCTACCTATAATATATATAAGACAGGGCTCGAAATTAACTTTTTTACTTGGTAGCACCGGTGCTCCCAACTTCAAATATTTAGGAGCACCAAAATAGATTTAGGAGCACCAGAAAAAATTTAGGAGCATCCACCAAAAATGATTGAGCACCGCTGCAAATTGCTTTTTAAGGGATTTATTGTATTTTAAAACAACATCAATAGGACTGACAAAAACTAGAAAAAACTATCTAACTAATGCTGCGAAGACATTGATATTTGTGTGCAATAATTCCAAAATGAATGTCTAATAATTATAGAATATTAATGATGATGAAAATGACAATAATAGTAAAAATGAATTACATTTCTCATTATGATACTGCCTTGAATGTGCATGAATGTAGGTTATCTGCTATAAAAAGTCTGTTACTTTATGAAAAATAATTGTATAGTTTGCATCAAACAAAAATGAAGCATTGCAGTAAGAAATATTTATTTTATACTGCTGTTTTTATATGCATGCCAATTTAATAAATAATATTTCTGCTACAAAACAAACAAAAGATTATAATAAATCATTCAATTCAATGATGAAAGCTGCAAAGCAGTCATCAGTAAATAAATAAAAAAATAAAAATAATATACACCTCAAAAAAGAATAGACAAAAGAAAGAAAGTCTCACTTCTATCACTTTAAAAGATTTGGTTTCAGTTTGTGTCAATTTAAAGGTTCAGTCTGAGATGATCTTCATGTTTCTGTGTTTGTGAGTCAGCCGACCCAATTTATGAGCAGGCAGAGCAGGATTCTTGCGATGACCACCGGCGGAATACCGCTGTTTGTTATGAGCCGCAGTTTCAGTGTAAACTTAGTAAAGGCGAGCTTCTTTGGCGATGATATGTACAGTATTAGATTTGACTTTTAGCGGACATTTGCGCGGAACACGCAGTGAATGCAACGCATGGAGATTCGGGCGCCTTCTCCATGAAGCGCGTACTCGATTGATCTCAGCTGGTGGATCATTATTCACCACGTGACGTGTCATGATCGCTCTCATCTGCACCTCAATTTTAGGTGGGGTTTGCAAACCTGTGTGCTTTAAGTTTTTACTCTTTTGCCGTTTGCATTTCCCGTGGTCATAAAAGCTCCTTCCCTGTCATCTGACAGCGAAATACCTTGAGTGATTGACAGCTATGAACCAATATAGCGGCAGGGAAGAGCGATTCAGCATGTTTTTACAAAAAATCAAAACAGGTCGCACTACAACCATTATCAGCAGTCGCACTAATGCGCCCAAATATATTATGAGGTCGCATAGATTAATTTTCGGGCGCATATGCGACCAAAATGGTCGCAATTTCGAGCCCTGCAAGATGCAGGATGTAGCTGAGTGGCAGGCAGGGGCGGGAACAGCTTACCTTGGTTCTTCCCGCCCGTCACAGCGTCTAACAAAGGGGCGGGGTGCGTGGTGACGTCACCGGCATCCCCGCTCCTTTGTTTACACGGCGGGCGGGGAATGCCAGTGACCGCTGTGTACGGATAGAATCAGCGGAGCTGGAAGCGCTCTCTCTCCCCGCTCCGCTGATTCTGTCAGTGTACAGCGGTCGGCGCGGGCCACAAAATATTGCACTGAGGGCCGCAAATGGCCCGCGGGCCGCGAGTTTGAGACCCCTGTGTTACATACTGTATGTATAAAGCATGTAATATAATAACACCAAGTTAATAAAATATACAGCAAATCAAAATAAATATCAGAAAAATTAAAAAATTAAAATAGACATTATTGCTAAAAATGATAACAATTACTATAATAAAAAGTGCAGATTTTTTCAATAAGGCAAATTAGTTGATTAGCTATTTCTAATGGTGTACAAATATCTTGCAGCCATTATAGATGTCATTTTCTCTCTCCGCGTATATAGTAAAGTTTATTAGTCGTTTATTAAATAATCATTCAATGTTTCTCTCGCGGATGTGCGCGCATACAAGTAACGCCCACTTTGGAAAGCGAAAGTAAAACCTGAATCCTGGACATTTTAGGAGATTCTGAAACTACAGTCGAACACATTTTGGTGGAAAAGGAGTGCCTCTGTGGGTCTGCAGAGCATGTGAGATTGTCTGTGTAAGTGACAGATTGCGCGCGCACAAAATCAGCGGTAGGAAATGTGCAGAGTGAGAGATTTTGCACTGGATAGTTGATCCCGAATGTTTGGCTTTCATGTACGATACAAAAAAAAAACGTTTAAAAGGATGATAATATTAGTATTATTCATGTGTCACCACCAAATATACTTGGAAGCCGTTTATATACTTGGGCGGCGCGCCTAAGTAAAGTCTATTTGTGGGAAGCACTGAATTGTTTACAGTGATGTAAAGTACCAAATTACAAACACTCAAATGACTGTAACTATGTGGTTTTTCTCAGGAATTGTAATTTACTATGTAGTTTTAAAGTTGTGTACTTCCCCTTGAGCACATTTTTAGTGCTGTATTAGTACTTTTACTCCACTATTATCTTTCAATCTGCAGTCACTACTTTATTTTTTATATCGCAGTATGTAAATACAGCAAACCATTTGGAAGCACTAAAAGTGTCAAAAAATGTATAAAATCTTTACATGCAATGACCCAGAGACTGCTTAAACCAGGGGTCTCAATCTCAATTTTGCAGAGGGGCACATCAGTGACTGACAACTCATAGGAGGGCTGTTTTAACATTCAAGCTCATCAAAAAAGTGGAAACCTGATGTTATTGATGCACTCAGACATTCTTCCCCAGATTATTTGCAGTCAAAGCTCCTTCTTTTGTTTCTTGTCTTACATATTGTAGGGATAGTTTAAATTGCTAGGAAAATACCACAATTTAATAATAGGCATAATGATAATAATTATGTCCCAATCAGTTTGCTCCTTAGCCAAAAGTTTAGCAGATAGTTTAAGACAGCAGAAAGCATTTTGGGTAACTTTAGTGACTTTACTGGCAATTGTTGCTCTCAAAATCTTTTTTTCTTTTTTTGTTAAACTACAACAAAGAGGGGGGAAATATGTCCTACTATTACTTTAATATGTTCAATTCAGCCAGCAGTAAAACATTACTAATGCAGCTTTATATACAATTCTTAATACACGTATGAGGAACATTTATTAAATGAGACCTTTTAATCGAATATTAGCAAAATTATCATATTTACACCACCATCAAACAAAGAAATGTTTGTGCAAAAAATACTAAAGTAGTATGAAACTGATAATGATCAAACGACCCTTTAATATTTTTTTTAAAAATAGAGCTTTAGTAAAAATAGAGCACTTATGGACATATAGTTCAACGTTTAAATCACCCCCAGAAATAATAAGCTGCGGTCACACTGGACTTTTCACCCCATAGACTTCCATTCATACGCATGCGAATACATCAGACCAAAAACAAAAGCTCATGCGACAAGTTCCGCAGTTCACTGCGTTGCAAAGTTCGAGCTTGGTGAACTCTGACCTGTGAAATCGCATCACTTGACTGCGTGAGTCCAATCGAGGATCAAAACATGATGTCTCTGGACAGAAATTTAAAGCAATCGCTCGCTTTTTATAATGTCTAATCATCTTGTTCGCAGCGTAGTACTACAGAATTTCCCTAGCTTAAACTTTAACGTGACCGCAGCTTTACTCTCGACTGCACGCTAAGAGAAACCGAAAGTAACCCAAATATATAGTGCAATCCTTTAAATCTCCAGTAAGTGGGGGGTCAAAACTACAAGTGGCTATATGCAACTGCACAACAATAGTGATTCAAAAATAAATGTTTTGGAGGGCCAAATCGTGTTATATTTTGATGTCAGTTGTGGGCCGGAGGGAGGCTGCAAATGGCCCACGGGCCAGCAGTTTGAGACCCCTGGTTTAAACTGGATGACATTTATGAGAAAATGGCGGATGTTTACTATACTGAAATCACCAAATAGTCTTTAACAATGCCTAAATGCACTACAGAATGTTACGTTTAAACACAAATTTCTTGTAAATACATTCGCTTTTTACAGCATTAAACTCAATACTCACAACTCTTGTGTACATTCAAAAAGGGCTATTTTTTATCTTTTAAACTTTTTTTTTTACTATTTTTTAGTTTGTTTAATATTTACAACAGCTAATTTTACTCGCACTACATTTTTGAGAGAGTAATGGTACTTGAGTATGATTTTTTTCAGTACTCTTTCCACCGCTGATTGTTCATAAGGACTACTAGTAACTGTAAATCCCTGAATGGAAAAGGTTGGTTAGTTGGTTCACATCAAATCACATTAAATCTGTTGTGTTATCTGATGGAGCAACAGCGCAGCTGTCATGTCCCAAAGGTTTCAAAGCACCCTCTAAAATCAGCCAACGGTATTCTCAAATGCTGTGTAATATCACTCTGCCTGGTGAGCCATGGTACTGCAGCAGGGTTTCTTGACTATTATGCCAGAATAAGAGTATACCCAGCAGGCACAGAACATCAACATGATGTCTGATTGAAGTTGTCATGGAACGTTGCATTTTGTTTTGGAAATGAAAATCGGTTTGACCTTTTGGTCACTTTCCAACACAAACTAAAATCAACAAAATAATTCCTTATTGGATGTCAAAATAACATGGTCCTTTAAATGCTGGCAACCTAAATCCAGCCTAATATTATCGTCTTACGACGTTGTGTGTCTGCTGGCTATATTGGTCTAGAACAGTGTTTCTCAACCATGTTCCTGAAGGATCACCAGCACAGCATGTTTTGTATGTTTCCATTGTCACACCTGTTACAGGTCTTTCTCTCTCTGTTAATGATCTGAATCTGGTGTGTTTGCTAAAGGAGACATGGAAAATGTGCAGAGCTGGTGGTCCAGGAACGTGGTTGACAAACACTGCTCTAGAAAATTGTAATTTTTCCATTTTCGGTCAGTTTTATTATTTTATTATTATTAAAAGAAGAAGTAGTAGTAGTAATATTTTTCAATGTTTAAACTAAAGCAATACATAGTCTAGAAAAACAAATAAATAGGGAAATACTTTGAAAAGTTACTTGCTTTGTTAAACATCACTTGGGAAATATAAAAAAGAGGATTGAAAAAAAAATCACAGGAAGGCTAATAATTTTGCCTTCAACAGAATAAGTGAGTTTTTTTCCTCTCCTTCTTGCATGTCGCAGGCACCAAGCATAAACTAATGATGGATGGACAGAGTGTGTTGCCACGGAGACGAGGGAAAGCGATGTCATCCCGCCCTTCGTGTAAAAGCAAGCGATTGGCCAGCAAGGGAAGTCTGGGCGTGGCCAGCAAGAGCTTCTACTGTGAAGTTTGCGAGATCCATGTTAACTCTGAGACTCAACTCAGCCAGGTAAAGGAAAACTAATCGACACCCATGCATGTAACTCACTGGAATATCTGAAATAAGTAACTTTAATTGAATCTCTGCAGACATTTTAGGGTTCAGATAATGCCACTTTATGTGCCTCTTGGCATTCCATTAAGCATGCCATATTCCAAAATACACATTCAATTCAATTCATCTTTATTTCCATAGCGCTTTTACAATGTAGATTGTGTCAAAGCAGCTTAACATAGACGTTTTAGTAAACTGAAACTGTGTCAGTCCAGTTTTCAGAGTTCATATGTTCAGTGTAGTTCAGTGTGGTTTAGTTTTCACTGCTGAAAGTTCAAACACTGAAGAGCAAATCCATCGATGCACAGCTCCACATGTCCCAAACCAAGCGAGCCAGTGGTGACAGTGGCGAGGAGCAAACTTCACCAATTGACGAAAGTAAAGGAAAAAAAACCTTGAGAGAAACCTTGAGAGACTCAGTTGAACACAACATTTCTCCTCTGTCCAAACTTCTTGTGTAGAGCTTACTTAAAAATGATGGTTGGAAACATAGCTATAGCTGGTGGCTAGGGTTGAGTTTGAGGTGGCGTATTATTTCACTTATTTCTGTCTATTGAAGATCATATACACCAGACACATCACATAGCCTGTTAGTGTTTCTCACTAGAAAAACCTTGGAAATTTACATAAATGCACACATTTTGTACCTTGATCAAAAAATATGGAGACAAACGTTTCAGCTGTAAAGAGTATTGTTCACTGAATCTGACATTTTCACATGTTAAAAAATAAATTCGACCTCACGTTGTGTGAATCGTATAGATGATGCCTCCAAAACTGTTGTCTGTCATAAAAAAATTTGACTCAGGTTTGATTTTATTTTGTTTTTTGTATCCGATAAAATGTTTTGAGAAGTGTTTGCCAGTTCAGAGCCACCGTACAAGTGCTATGAATGCCCCCCCTTGAGCTTTCAGCACAGATAACTTTATGACAAACACAAAGCATATTATAGAGACAGATTTTGGCGGACTGTTGAGAACACATATGCTGGATTCAGCGACTGGCACACCGCTCCCTTCTGCTTTTTGGTGTGTGTGCGTGCGTGTGTGTGTGTGTCCATATCTTTGACGTACTGCCCATAGACATTATAATAGAAAGCTAGACACCTCATGGTCTGTTACTCCAATACGTCGATATGGCTGCCATCTATTATAATGTCTATACGTACTGCAAGTCTATGTTCTGGATTTGTTTACATATGTAAATGTGTGAAGTATCAAAAGTAATGATAAAAGATCTACTGGTTTCCTGAAACAAACTTTGCATTTGGAGATAATCAAGCGCGGCTCTTTGATAAGCTGGATTCTCCATTCACTTTATGCAGTATGGAGTACTGAAGGAACACAATATATGAAAGCTCAATGTTATCCTTTTTTCTTTTTTTGATTTTGAAGAAGAAAACAAAGCATCACTTCATCACTTCTTAAATGGTTTAGGTTTTTTTTGTAATGGATTCATTATTACGCATCGGACTCAGTGTGTAGGGTTTGTGTACATGATGAATGGATTGAATTGGAAGCGAAAATTTTGGACTGTGTGCAAAGGCATAATAATAATAATAATAATAATAATAATAATAATAATTCCTTACATTTATATAACGCTTTTCTGGACACTCAAAATGCTTTACACATTGGGGGAATCTCCTCATACACCACCAGTTGTTCAGCAACCACCTGGATGACACAACGGCAGCCATATTGCGCCAGACCACACAACACACACCAGTTGATTGGTTGAGAAGAGACGAGGAGAGAGAAGCCAATTATAAAATGGGGATGGTTAGGAGGCCATGATGGACAGAGGCCAGTGGGCAAATTTGGCCAGGATGCCAGGGTTTAACCCCTACTCTTTTTTTGAAGGACATCCTGGGATTTTTTTAAACGACCACAGAGAATCAGGACGTCAATTAAACGTCTTATTAAAATACGGCACTCACTGAGCAGTATAGAGTCCCCGCCACTATACTGGGGCATAAGGACCCACACAGATCACAGGTTGGGCGCCCCTGCTGGGCAACCTTACTTTTCCGTGTGGTCTCCCATACAGGTACTGTTCGGCCCCAGCCTTGCTTAGCTTCAGTGGGCGACCATGTGAGAGTGAATAATTTTTGTTTTGTCACTTTGGTTACCGCACCAAATTTACCTGGAAGAGTGCAATGATATATATATATATATATATATATATATATATATATATATATTGGACCAAAATTAATTTCTTTAAATTATAAATTATTTCATTGCGTTGAAGTGAAGGTATAAATTTAGGTAAGATGCTTTTTTAATGCTTTACACTTTCATAAAAGAGGTGTGTGTGTGTGTTGTTGTTGGCCCTGTGTCCACTGTGGTCTGAGGAACATGACATTTAATGGTATTTCATGCTTGCCTTAAGCCGCTCTTAAGTGTGACGTAAATGAGATGAAGCCTGCTGAAAAAAAGAGACAGGAGAAGGGAAAGGTTGAAAAATATTTAAAAGTTTAAACAGAAAAGGCTGCTCTTGTTCTAGTCTTGGTATCATGATTGAAAATGCACCATTAAAAATGACTCTTGACCTCTGTGTTTGTTTAGCACATGAACAGTCGAAGGCATAAGGATAGACTGGCTGGGAAACCTCCAAAACCCAAGTTCAACCCTCATGCCAAGAGTCAGCCTACCTCAACCGTGTCGGTGAGCACACACAGGAACACACACTTGTCACATTCTTGCAGGAGATGTAAATTTGTGGGTGCTTTGTGCAGAGAAATCTTGTCTTTTGTTTGTGTAATTATGCATTCAGAGGCTAATGACTCGGCCTATTACCAGATTTTTGAGCCCGTCATTGTCTACTTATTTACTTATGTAAATGTGTTCAAATATATATTTATTCAGTGTTCGTATTCATTTCAGTACTATTATTGAATAATATGCAAATGGTTAGATAATGTATGGTTGCATAATGTATTTACAATACAGCTTTACAATACAATACAAATACAATTGTAGATCTTAAATAAGGTTAAAATTAGGTTTATTTTACTCTAGTTAATATATGGGTTTTCAGCATCTATAATCTCCAATTAAGTATGGATTAATAATTAATTTTTAATTATTATTTTATTTATTTATTTATTATTATTATTATTAGTTATTATTATTTTGCAAAATTCTGTGCAGAAAGGCAGATTCAGATTGGTCCTAGTAAGAGTTCACAGTATTGTTCCAGATAAAATATAACATGAATAATATAAAAATATATATTTTTTAAACAGATTAGATATTAATCATTATTCAAAGCTGTTAGAAAACACGCTCCATGCCAGATAAATAAGATCTAGCGTGCCCCGAACGCCAGATACCATCAGAAAATGTGTGTTTCTTTGGGTATCCAGACAACAAGCCAGCAGAGCCGCTCAATACCCAAACCTGTTAACCATCTATAACTTTTTTTCATTTTGAGCATTATAAACTCTAGATGATGGATAATACAGCCCAGAGTGTCATTCTAAATATGCATAAACTGTAATGGTAGACCAAATCATTCAGCAACTGTTAATGTTTTAGCTTGGGAAGATGCCTCTGACGGTGAGGGAGAAAAGGACATCGACATAGCCTTGGAAAACTTTTTACAGAAATCTTATTTTGCATGCTATCTTCATCAAATTTGACATATAAACTGATGAATACTTGGTTTTCAAGTCATATTATTTTTCCAGGACATTATATTGTTTTCCTGTGTTTCTATATGGAAAACAAATATTGAACACAATAGTAAAAAAAAAAATTTCTCATGAATTCATAATGTATAACTTTTTATATATTTTTTAACATGTAACCTTTTACCACAGTAAAGCTCAAAGTGTCTTCTTTCCAATGATACATAATTTGTGTTTGTAGCTTAATGGAGTCAGGAACTGTTACTATTTAAATTTAGGTAGGTCTAAATCCCCAAAATTGAGTGCTGGCTAACAGGTTTTAACCAGTATTCAACTAAATTTATAGTCTCCTATCAATATAGCAGTTGACTGAGAAAGCCAGAGATGATCAGAAGTAATTGGGATAAAGAAAGAGCAGAGTTTACTGAATGATCTTAGTTTCGTATGTTTCGATGCTCAGACATAACCTGACCAGGATGAATCCAACAATTGTTTTTATACCACAAGCAACAGCAATGGAAAATGACTGCTTCACAATACTGTCCTGAGACAATCGACCTCGAAATAAAGACGTGTTAAGTGTCGCTGGAATCCACACAATCATAAGTTTGTAACAATATGGAAAAAATAAATAATAATAAAGCAATAGTTATAAGAAAATAGTAATAATAAAATTATAAAACAATCAAATAATAATTAATAATTATCAAATTATTATCTAATGATCAATAAAATGATACCTAAATAAATGATCATATGATTAAACTAAATATTTAAATGAATATAAACAAGTGAAAATGAAACACTACACACATGAATGGTTGCTTTCTTGAAGCAGCACACATAAGTTTGCTACAAGGATTCTCAGATCGTTAGTTAGGCTCTTCAAAGCCCTTTTCCTGAGCCTCTCTACGCATTGTCAGTCTTATGCATCTGCCATGTTTGTAGATTTTTAGAAGATTTTACCCATGTTTACAGTGATAATCACTTTTCAATAGCAATGTCCAACATGCAGTGTGTTATAGGTAATATTAACTATTAGTTAGGTCTACTTTCTGCCACAAAATGTAACATAATACTATACTTGTGTAAATACTACGATTTAGGTAGTACTGGGTGGTACTACAATTGGTGCATAGTTATTTTTCATATACTATTTGGGAAGGAAAATTTGAAAATTGGGGAGCGACAGTGAGATTGAAAAGAATTCATGAAATGTTCAAATGTAGTACATCTCAAATGCATTGTTTTGGATCAGTAATTTTGTAAAAAAAAAAAAATAAAAATAAATTGAGAAAAAAAAGTAAGTTTGCATCAGCTAGAACACTAAAAAGTCATATTCAACTAATCAGCACAGTGTAGTTAATAGTATTCAAATAAATCTGCCTCACATATTAAAATACCCAGAGTTGGTTTGAAACAATAGGACTGATGATGATTGACAGAACAAGATAATAAGCCGTGTCTGTTCTCAGCATGACAGAATGGGGAAATGTGAAGGGGAGGAAGTTATTGAAGGGAGGATGCCAGCAAAACATGCTCATTATGACACGAGGAGTAATTTTGCGTAATTAAAAATGATTTTTATGCAGCTCAGTTCTCCCGATCTTTTGCAGCAGGGTGTCCGATGGAACGGTTATGCGGGCGGCGCAGTGTCTGCCATGAAGAAAGTTATCAGCCAATGCAATCTCTCCTCTCTGTCCTCACAGGTGAGTACTTATGTTCATCGTTTGTTCATCGTTTAACCCAAAATATACTGTGATTCTATTAAGAGAATGCTTTACAAGCGCCTGCACATTGGTTAAAGGGATAGTTCACCCAAAAATTATTCATATATACTCAGTATTTCCTCTTTCAAGTGGTTACAAAACTATGAGTTTCTTTCTTCCACTGAACACAAGATATTTTAAAGAAAGCTGAAATCCTCACCATTTCCTTCCATAGTAAGAAAAACAAATACTATGAAAGTCAATGGTTACAGGTTTCCAGCTTTAAATGATCCTCTTTTGGGTTTAACAGTAGAAAGTCAAACTGCTTTGTGACAAGTGAAGGGTGTGTAAATAATGACAGAATTTTAATTGTGGGTGAACTATCCTTTTTAGGATAAACATTCTAGTGTGTATCAGATGGAGTATAGTTTGAAATGCTGTCCATTTCACTGTATACTAATATACATAGATAGAGACAGTTACATACAGTAGGGTTGGGAGATTAATCAAAGGTTATTTTCATGCACATTTTGTCAGTAAAGCTGGTTCTCATAAACCTCCATCTAGGGGTGTTGCTAGACGTAATTGGGGCACAGGCAGCCCATTACTGCTTGACAACTAGTCTAGAGCGCCATCTGCTTTTGAAAACTAGCCTAGAGCACCATTATCTGCTGTTAAAAGCAAGTCTAGAATGTCAACTTCTGTTTTAAAAAAAAGCCTAGAGAGTCATCTGCTGGTAAAAACTTGCCTGAAGCGCCATCTTTTCACATTTTATCTTTTCAACTTCTATACATTAAGCACATTTGCAATGCAAGCCCCTAAATAAATAAAAGAAGTCAATGCTGTAACTCAAAGCTTTTACTTTATTTTACTGTAGAAATATTGTTTGTGATGTCTTAAATTTTCTACTGATTCAATCTTTCTCTCTCTCTCTCAGACTAAACTTGTTCTACAGAAGCAATTGACAAAAAATTTGACCGCCAGCTTCCTGCCCACCCCCTTAACTCCACCCACCCTCTGCACCGTTGCGGCCAATCCTCTCGCACTGCGACACCCGCCGGGCACTACTTTCATTCAGACGCCCATCCTCGGCCCAGCCCTCTTTAGGCCAGCACCAGGACCTCTGAGAGCCACACACACTCCCATAATATTCTCCCCCTATTGATCGCCCCCCAAAACAAAACAAACACGCTCTTTAAACAAAAGCGCACATCAATGTGATTTAGTCTTACGATCTGTTCTCAGTACTGACGGTCTCTGTGCAAACTTTGTCCGTGCTCCCGCTCTCTCCAAGCTGTAAACACACACATACACACACACACACGTATATATATAAATATAAACACACACAGTCACATAGTGTTCCCTATCCTCCTCAAAGACTGTGACTCTGAAACGAGTCACTTTTGAACTATGCAGCAAAGGGAGAGAGAGTGTGTGTAAAAGAGAAGTAAAGAGAGAGCAAGACCATATATGGATATATGGGAGGGGCCTCATTGCTAACACCAGCCCACTATGCAGATGAACACTTGATTGACAGGACACGACCGCTAAGGAAGTGAAAGACGGATAATTTAGCTTTGCTTCACGAGATATTTATCGTTAAACAGATATTAATCAGGTTTTAATTCTATAATTTATTAGAGCAAAGACAATTTTAGAGACCTATAACTGCGCTAGCTGTTCGTTTAGTGAGGAAATGCAAACATCCCTTTACTTGATGCTTATTTTAATAGATTTTCAATTTTATTCAGTCTGTTTTCATGCCATTCCACACGAATTCAGTCGTCTCTCTGTATATTCGCACACATTTTTGGAGTAACCTCATCCGACTGGCTTTTGTTACAAATATAAACCTCATTGGTCTGTTAGTTTACAGATGCTAAGGCTTTCTGTCATGGGTAATCACATAGTAACGCTGAGTGCCAGCCTAATCGACGAAGGTGACAATTTGGTAGCAAGGCAACACACACACACTCGCTCCCAATCAGTGTCGTAATTTTCAGTGTTGATGCACAGATTAGGTGATTTAAGATGCGCACACACACACACACACACACACACACATTCTCACAATCTCAGATGAGTTGATTACGGTTCAGTCACAGTTTGACGTGGCCTTTTATGTCCGCATATTTTGTTCTCAGTATTCCCTCATTACAGCCTCACAAAGGTCACTGTGCCTGTCAGAAATCTGTCCGTGTCCCATCTTGATTAAGATCTAAACCCTCACCATGTTATTTGCTTGCTTGTGTGTATGTGTGTGTGCGCGCAATCCAAAAACCGTCATGAGCTCATTACTCTTTTGATTTTGTTCAAAACAGCATGTTCAATTCTGGAAACGGCAATGATTTATTTTGCACAGAGGAGCCATTGCCAAAACTTTACGACTCTGATCGCGGTTAGTGAATAAACAATTCTGTCGACAGATTTCAACATATTCAATTTAAAATATATTAATATTGCAATTGCACAATGCCAAGTACACAAGCATCTGCAAGTACAACGTCCCTTAATTCGCTCAGTTTCATAGATCTACTGTACCATCTGACTCCAGACCTGTAGAATTAGATGTCGCTGTCGAGTCTGTGTTGTTTCGCCACTTGTCATCTGTCTGATTTCTTTTCAACACACCCTATAGCATACAGAGCTTTTTTGTAAATATTTTATGAACACGGCTTTTAAAAGTAAATCATTAACATTTATAATATATATATATATACACACACGATTAGAGTAAATATGTAGAACTTTATGAGATGTTTAATGTAGATTCTTTATCTGGTTATTGTAATTAATGTGATAATAAGAACGATCTCTACTTGATGAAGTTATATTATGTTTTCTTGCCATTTCTGCGGAGATATGAGATAATAATCTAACACGAAGTAGATAAGATTATGTAGTTTGTACGTCAAATTGTAAATCAAAGTGCTACAAAGCTCATTTGAGAGAAGGAAGGTGGTGGATTATAAGAGATGTTGCTAAAAACGGGCTGAGATTGGGACACCCAGACAAGGCCTCAAAGCCTGGAGTCACGGGTGAGTCTCAAGCCCACTCAGGGCTCTTGCTTATCAGAGGATGGTTTGCCCTTGCGGGAATGAAGCACGGGGCCTTGAACAGAGCTAACTAACAACAGCCATATTGACACTACAAAAGGCACAACATGGACGAATTCTGATTTTTCTTTTCTTTTTTTGAGGACACTTTAAAACAAGGACTTTGCTTGAACTCCATGAATCAAAATCTACTATTTGTGTGTTTTGATATCTCCTGAACGCCAAACTCATCTCCATGAAAAGGCAAATGGTGAATGACAATTAACCCACCAGTGGACTCCATCATAAGGCACAAGAAGACATAACTGCACCATTCCTAGTTGTGTCCACATCAGATATGGCTTTGATACTTATAACTGTGACGGTCTCTGGTCGGTGGATGATTTCACATGTTGTCCAAATGTAACAGTTCCAAAATATCTTTAAGGTTGTTTGTTGGGTTTTTATTATCTGTTGCTTTTTTCAGTTCGGTGATATTCAATCTTTAAGCAATAATGACGGAAACTGGAACCTTTTTAAGAAAACAGAAGACGACTCTGTTTCTTTTCTCTCTCTCTCTCTATCTTGAGCGTACTTGTTTCTTCCCTCGTTCTCTCAATGTTGTGAGTGCTCCTCGTGTTTTTTGTATGGTGGAAAGCGTTTATGGTGCCAATCTTGAGGACATTAAGGCTTGATTTGACATTTTCCTCTGTATGTTTTACACCGGTGGAATCTGTTTGTCACAGGACAGTCATGGAAACATCTGTTGCCAGCAGTGACGAGACAGTGGATGGCATTTCCCATTTCTTCCATGTTGGTTCAGGGCTAATTTGACTATTCAAATGAATACCCATTTCCCTTCCTGCTAGTTTGCCTGCCTTGTGCCAAAATATACTCTCATTAAATGCCAAATTTATGTACTTATTTTAAATAATTGTCAAAAAGCACAAAAAATGTCTCTCCCATTATGTTTAAAACTCATGGAGCCTCATGTGAAAATGTGCATGTGTGCGTGTAAACTGAAGAAAATAATAATAATATGTGAATTGTGTGTCCAATCCAAATAGATGTTTCTTAGGCATGAACAAAGATGAGATTTGAGTAATCATGCTTAAAAGGGACATGGCCAGTATTGCGTAATATAAATATTGACTGACATTATATATGTTATTTGTTCATTGTGCTCAATCATTTCTGTGACTGATCAAACATTGATTTGAGCTGACACAAAGGGAGATGTATTTTCATAATTTTGCGTCTTGGTTTTTCTGACTCGTTTGCTATTTCTCTGTACAGTGTGTATGAATGCGTGAAACCGAAATAAAGCCGAGAATGAGAGAAAGAGAGAGAGAAATAAATCGATTAGATCTTCCACCTCACTGCTCTGGCTGTTCTTTTTGGGCTTGTGGGACTCGTATTATTGACAAGAAGATGACAGCTTGTCATGGCATCTTGCTTTATAATGACAAACGTGTCGAGACTTTCCGGTTCTGTGTATACCCAGACCGACCAGGCAAAGTCTATCATTTGTTACCCGACGACACGCTATTTCTCATTGCAGCCGTTCGCTTCATCTTCAACAACCACGCGCCATCTTGTGTTCATGAAGAGAACTGAAAAAAAATTACGAACTGTGGTAAGTCGTTTTAATCTTACATTCATTTTTTAAAGCTTTAAAGTTACATTTTTTAGTTATTCCAATATATATCTGAATATTTATAGCCTTCTGTTAGTTATAATCGCCATGGACTTTGAGATTCAAACAATAACAAAGTTCTCAAAAGTTTTGCTCACATTCAAGTCGTTCCAAACCCAACTCCAGAACCAGAAGTAGTATTGTACTTGTAAAAATAACCATAGTCTACAATTTTTTGTGTCTTTACGTTAAGTAACCAATTTACAGGCAAGTTAAGCTTTGTTTGACCCAAGTTTTAATCCTTATTTAAGGGACAGTTCGCCCAAAATTGAGCTGTAATCATTTACTTGCTCCTAAACATATTCTTTCTTCTGTTACACACAAAAGTGGCTAAAATGCTGAAAACCTGTATACGACTTTCATACCATTTGTTTTTCAGTTTTCTTTAGAATATCTTGTGTTCAACTGCAGAAAGAAACTATTGGAACCACTTGAAGGTGAGTAAATAGTTAGTTGACCTAGGCTACATCTTCATTTTTAGGTGAATTATCCCTTTTAAATGAGCAGGTTTAATTTAGGGCTTTATTTACAACTGAATAATTGAATATAATCATGTTTGCTTGCAAACAATATTTGTCTCTATAATCTTAGGATATTGTCTTGGTTTCAATGGCCTTGTTGCCATTGCTTATTGAAGTCATAAAGTTAACAGCACATACAAACTAATGCATTTTGCATCCTCTGAATCCTAGTGACATAAATACGATATTACAAACCAGTAGGCTATTGCTCGGTAGCTCATTCACTGTAAAACTTCACACTTTCTTATTAAACTGAAAAGGAGGAAACTTTGGAGGATCAGAACTGAAAAATTATCCCAAAAGCAATGAGCAATTAAAACATTTATTTTTTTCTAATTAATGTGTCCTATTATGATTTTTTTGAATGCAACCTTTCATGGTAAGTGTAATGTTGCTGTTTGGGAATCCAAAAGGTGCAAAGTTTTAAAGATGAAAGTGCAAAAAATGTATTGTCTTTAAAAAAAAAAAAAAAAAAAGTTGATTTTATTTTTATTTATTCTGAACTGCTAAACCGAGTGTCCAGCAATTCCAGTTTCATTACTGTAACCGATCTTCTGTAACACTTTTGCCTAATTCATTGGCTGCCTGAATGTCTCAATTTACCTTGTAAAAACAGTATAGATTTATACTATTATTGAGTGGAAAAAAAATAACAATTTGAGCACAACTTAACTCCTGGCATAATCAGTGAATGTGAAATGTATCTTCAACATGCATCATATCTGCCTGGGCTACAGACTGAGACTAATCAGGGGTATTTTACTACTTTATTTCCTGTTAGTGCAACTATATTTTGTGTTGTTCTATAATCACTACAGATTTTCTGAACTCATAAGTGATTTTTTATTAAGTTATATGAGATTAGTCATCGGATACACCAAAAGCTAAACAAAACAACACTCTTTGTGAAAACCCCAGAATGTATGTAATTGTAGCTTTAGCCTATAGCTCAAGACCAGTTCAGTTTAATACGAATGTCAGAAATCAACAGAAAGTATGTCTCTTAGCTGTAACATTATATGTTGTTTGGCCAGTCACAATATCTATTTTTTGTAGTACAATATATTGCACTAAAATATATTGCAATTAAATGATATTATTGTCATTTTAAGACCATTTCATGCCACTCTTACAAAGAACACGTGATGATTTATTCTTGAGTATATTTAATTTAATTTTAGTCATTTGAACTATTTAATAATGAGGGATTGAAATCAGAATGACGTTTAAAACTAAACCTTTTAACTAAACCCAGAAGGCCCCATATGACTCAAATTTAAAGACATTTTACTGTCTGTATTAATATTTATAGGAATTTTTAAGTATTTTTAAGTAATTAAATGAATATTTTTATAGTAATTATAAATACATTTTCAGTCCAGAAGTTAGTCATTTAAATACAATTTTAATGATATAATTAGTAAATAATTACTAAATATTTACCAACACTGACTGTATTTCTAGTTTATAACTGATGAGCATTAATCCAGCTGTAACTTTGCAGCATGTGTATACAGTGTAATGTGTAAAACATTAAATAAAATAACAATACAAGCGGGATGAAATGAAGAGTTCAGCTCAGAGCGAGTGTTAAGTTCAGGTATTGTTCATCACACTGGCACAAGCGGAGAGCCCTCGATTATAAGGTCACTGCAGATCTAGCCATGAACGAAATGAAATATCTACCCTGTAAAAAGATAGATAAAGGCCAAATAAAAAGCAATTCTCCTGTTTGCTCTGGTGAAGACAGATTGAGAGGGACTGGAGGACGCTGTGCAGTTGAACTAGCTTTCACTCTGTGCTTAAAATTAATATAGTTTTTACAGCTCATTATGATGATTTTAACCATTTAGCAGGAAAAACATGGCTCAGTAAAAGTGTGAAGTTATTTTACTTAGTGTTTTTTTTTTTTGTCAAAGAGGCAATATGACAGAAATCTCATTCATACAGCTGAATCAGAATTATTAGCCCCCTTTTGATTTTTTGATTTTTTTTTTCCCAAATGATGTTTAGCAGAGCAAGGAAATGTTCACAGTATGTCTGAAATTATTTCTTTCTTCTGGAGAAAGTGTGATTTGTTTTATTTCACCTAGAATAAAAGCATTTTTTTCATAAAAAAAAAAAAAAAATAGGTCAAAATTATTAGCCCCTTTTAGCTTTATTTTTTGCCATAGTCTACAGAACAAACCATCGATATACAAAGGTTTGCCTAATTAACCTAACCTGCCTAGTTAACCTAATTAACCCAATTAATTAACCCAATTAGGCCTTTAAATGTCATTTCAAGCTGTATAGAAGTGTCTTGAAAAATATCTAGTAAAATAATATTTACTGTCATCATGGCAAAGATGAAATAAATCAGTTATTACAAATGTGTTATTAAAACTATTGTTGAACTCAGTGAAAGAGAAATTAGGGACAAAAATAAACTGAGACTAATCATTCTGACTTCAACTGTACCATAGCCAAGCTCTTAGCGAGTGCACCTCTTCTCAGCCATCCTATATCTGTCATTAGTCAGAAATAAGCCGGCGGGAATTCATCAAGGTCTACCTGAGCTCAAACTCCCCTCTCGCCCTGCAAACGGGAGGGATGCCAGGGCTCGAGGATCTCATAAGCTCAGGGCTCTCTCCCAGGACAGCATGCCAAACAAGCTTTAATATCAATCATCAGCCAAGTGTGAACTCTTGAAAGAAGATATTTTGAAGCTGGAAACCTGTAACCACTGACTTCCATATAGTGTTTGTTTTTCCTACTATGGAGGTCAGTGGTTACAGGTTTAGGTTTTTCTCCAAAATATCTTCTTTTGTGTTTAACAGAATAAAGAACCCCCTGAGGCTGCGTAAATAGTGAGTAAATTTGACTATCCCTTTAAGTACAGCAGTGATGTTAGCATAATACCATCCATTGATGGTATTATCCCCTGCCATTGTGTAAATTAGGTGCCAATTTAGAAGATTCAGAAGAGATTAATGAGCTGTAAGCAAGTCCAGCCAAGCATCTTTATTAAAAAAGCTGCTCATACAGTATTTGTTTTCAGCCAAAAATACATTATGATGCTTTTAAACATTTCAAAATGCATTTGAAATAAATTAAAGCTAAAAATAGGATATGAGTAGACTGTTTACAAGTCATGCTTTTTTCTCCTGATTTAAAAAGAAATTAAGTAAGTGCTTCAACCAAAAGCAAACATTATATAACATGACTGACTACTCACAAATATATCATCAGGGCAAAAATGGCACAGTGGTGATACTTTAAACAGTGGTCAAACTCAATTCCTGGAGGGCCACAGCTCTGCATAGTTTAGCTCCAACCACCTCCAACTCTCACCTGCTTAATAGTCTCTAGTAGCCTTGAACACCTTAATTAGTTGCAACAGCTGTGTTTGATTAGGGTTTGAGCAAAACTGTGCAGAGCAGCGGCTCTCCAGGAATCCAATTTGAGACCTATGCTTTAAAGCAGGGGTCACCAATTTCAGTCCTGGAGGGCCAGTGTCCCTGCAGGGTTTAGCTTCAACTTGCTTCAACTAACCTAGTATACCTTGTAAAAAGTATACCTAGTAAGACCTTGATTAGCTTGTTCAGGTGTGTTTGATTAGGGTTGGAGCTAAAATCTCCAGGACACCGGCCCTCCAGGAACAAGTTTGGTGACCACTGCTTTAAAGGAACACTGCCCTTTTTAGAAAATCTGCTCATTTCACAACTTTCATACAGTTAAACAATTGAGTTTTACCATTTTTGAATCCATTCAGCCAAACTTCTGGTCTGTGGGGAGCATGCTTAGCTTAGGATAGTATAGATCATTAAATGGGATTAGACCATTAGCATCTGACTCAAAAAGCTGATTTAGTAATATCATGCAGCCATGGTTCAGCCGCAAAGTTTGTTGCTTAATACGCCTAAATGAGAGTATAGTTCCTAAACATGTCTGCCTGCAAAATAGCTTATTTTCATTTTCTGTTGGTCATCATAAACAATATAACTACAAAAGAATCAAGCTTTAAATAGGAAAATTTTCTAAACTCTTTGGTCAATTTTTAAATGAGATGCTCATGGTCCAATCCGATTCAATGATCTATGCTAAACTAAGCTAAAAACGCTTCCTCCAGACCTGGAGATTGGCTGAATGGATTCAAAAATGATGAAACTAAACTGCTTAACTCTAAAAGAGTTGCAAAATAAGACAATTTTTTTTAAGTGGAGCGTTCCTTTAACACACAAAAATCAACACATACACTAAATTTAGCTTTTGCATACTTACAGAGCCGCACTTCTGGAATCAGTAACTTTTTTTTTTTGAGAAATAGGAATGTTGTCTCACGCAAATATAAGCACCAAAGATAAGTAAAACAACCATGCAGTCTGCAATATTCTATTAAAGAGTCTTCAAAAATAGCAGTTGACATGGCACCAACATCATTTTACGAAATCAAATACAAAGTTGAGTAATTGGAGTCATCCTTGCTGCAGAGGTATACATCTCAGTGTAAAAGCAGTATAGTGTTATCAGTCAAATATTTCAAGAGAAGCTTGAGAGAAATTTCACACAGCAACATATGAACATTTATGTTTATCAATATAAAACTTCAATGCAGTAACTTCATTCAGTGTGCTGGACACGTACAGCTTATAATGGCAATTTAAAACATTGTGAAGAATATAAAACTGAGTGTCTGCTCTCCCTTACGTTAGTCTGGATCTCTAGCTGTCCAGAGATCCGCTAGTCTTGTTCTTGTTGCGGCTGAGCGGGAAGGTGGATTTGCTCTGAGGTTGGGTCATTTTGCTGGCCAGATGGACGAAGGGCTCGATGAGCGTCCGTCTGTCGGTCACAGAAATCTCCCATAGTCGCACCTTCTCCTGCCGTGCCCATTGCTGAGCTGCCTCGCTGTCGACCCGCCTCTGGTCCTGCAGGTCCAGTTTATTGCCCACTACTACTATAGTGACCTGGCGGAACGAGAACAGTCAGTCAAAATTCTAAACCTAAATGTCTCTTATAAAAATCTCACCAAAAAAGGGACGATCTGAAGAGCAGTTTACCTTAAAGACTGCCTCCTGACTATAGTGTGTGTATTCATTTATAGCACTTTACAAACACACTAGTCTTTACCCAAAAAGCACACCGACCTCTTTCTTGTCTCGGCAGCGGTCGATCTCCTTCTTGAGAGCTTCGACTCGTTTGAAGGACTCTCTGCTGTCGATACTGTACACCAACACGAATCCGTCCGCAAAGGTGAAGTAGTGGCGTGGGAACTCCTGACCGTCACGCAGCCCGCGGGTGTCATAAAATCGCACCTGCTCTCGAGTCCCGCGGTCCGTCTCCACAGAGCCAATGTAAATGTCCTCCAGGGTCTCCATAGTCTCTGAACCTGCCGATCAGTCGAAGAGTTTACGTGTCCTTATTATGCTGATATGAGTTGTTTTCCTTCATAAACAGTTTAAAGATATAGTTCACCCAAATATGTTAATTTACCCACAATTTGGTTCCAAACCAACCGGCAACCTCCCGCTCTCCACCATAAAGCCAATACAGAAGTAATTGAAACTGCAATTTATTGAAATTCCGCTAGTACTAGCTCCACAATAGAGCAGATTTCTATTAACACCAATGTTATAATGGCCAACTTTACAGCACAAAATAAGTGTTTACAGTCTGGTACAAAGAACGATTTTGGTTCATATAGCTAATATTACACTTCATGACAATAGTGAGGGGGTGAACTTTTTTTTTTATAACTTATCTGTTTCATTTATATTGAGTAATATTAAGTCTGCATAGTTAAGAGCGTAGCCACATGAGTGACAGCTAGGTCTTGCTGCTCACTGTCTTATCCCCACAGCTGATTCCGGCTGATTAGCTGCTGAGCTCGGCATATACATCATATTTTTTTTTTTTTTTTTATGTGGCTTTACACAGTCAACTGCCTTTTGGAATTGTTTCCTACAATTTTCAGATGATATGGCATGCTGTGTGCACTTAATTGTGCTCACAAACCATTCAAGTGGCCTCCATTTCAGGTGAGTACAATTCTTATATACTTATATACCATATCTATAAATGTATTTGTTGTATTTAAGATCATTTATCATTCATAATTTTCTTTAGAGCTGTAATGCACTCCAGAATCTGACAGATTGATTAGCTGTAGGGTCTAGAAAAGTCATCTAAAACGTTGTCATATAGCCTGGATTTCATAAATAGCTAACACAGACTATATTTGAAAAGTTTGGAAGTAATTCGCGTTTTCCTCCTGTAGAAAAACATCATAGGAACAATGCTTAGTGGCTCAACATGTTGCAACAGGCTTAAGGACCAAGTGGAATCCTCTGTTGGCTGTCGCTTAGGTGGGACTTCAGCTGATCAGTTTTGGCTAATGCTAACAAATATTTTCATTTTACAATCTGACTTAAGGGAACTTATCTTTCGCTGCCTACTGTATTGTTTTTTATTACAGAAAACATTTTACAAGTAACTTTATATAAATCTTGGACTTTACTCTTGGAACTAAAATGAACAATAAAAAGGTGTGGGAAGCTGGTTCAAGCCTCAGCTGGGTCAGTTGGCATTTCTGTGGAGTTTGCATGTTCTCCCCACATTCATGTGGGTTTCCTACAGGTGCTCCGGTTTCCCCCACAGTCCAAAGACATGCAGTACAGGGGAATTGGGTAAGCTAAATTGTCCATAGTGAATAAGTGTGTATGGATGTTTCCCAGAGATGGGTCGCAGCTGGAAGGGCATCCACTGCGTAAACTTTTGCATAAATTAAATATTTTTTCCCTAATGATATAAGATGTAATACATTTTAATAATATGTATTTATTCATATTTCTTTATTTTAAATCTTTAGGAAAATTTTTCGTACATCAAAATTGTGGTTATTATGAACTAACAAGCTAAGCCAGCTAAAAAAATAGTGCGTAAAATGTCACCTAAATGGAGTAGTTAAGTCTCATAATTAAATAGTGATGAGGCGTATAACTGCAAAAAGGTCCACTTTTTGAGAAAAATGAACCACCCCTTTCACCAGGCTGGTTACAGGCCTGTTAAATGTCTTTGATTTCTGAATCTATTCATATGAAAGCTGTAAAAACTGCTGTCTGTTTAAAAGATACCTTTCTGTCTTACTCCCTGGCAAGTAATGTGTTATAATGTAAATGTTTCACTTTATTATAAAAAAAAGTATTATCCTATTAGTAATTGGCTGCAAATATGATTTTCCTTTTAAGAATTAGCAAATAATGCGTTTCTGAAAGTATATTATTAAGGAGTATGTGCGAATATAAAGCCAACATTATCTCATGTATCTCAATGTGCGACTGTCAACACACTCACCTACTACATGGTTGGCGTACAGTAACTGCTCCAGAACTGCAGTTTTGCCCACTGAGCCCTGGCCACACACCACCACCTTACAGCTCTTGCCCATGATCGCCTACAGTCTTCATTAAAGCATAGAAATAAGGTAGAGGTGTTACGGAAGCATTGCAAATAGTGTTTTACGTGCACCTGTCGCGCCTTTACACAGCGCCTTAATACTGTACACCGAATACCAAACTGAACTCATGTCTGATGGTGATTAAAGGACGTCAATGTAAACAACAAATAAAACATAAAAGGAACGATGTACTCACCCGACTCTTTTCCTGTTTATGTGCGGATTTTAGCCTTCGAGGAAATTTGACATCAGTTTCGTTGAGCTCCAGCGCGCCGTCTTCTGTCGGGGAGACAACAGTACATGAAGGGTTTGATCACTTCCGCCGTCATGTTATTTCAAAGTCCCGAAGCTAAAGAAGTGCATTTTAAAATTTTCAATGATACTTACCCATCTTTAGAGTTTCTTAGACATAGATTTAATTTTGATCACAACATTGTTCATAAAGGCTATTTTTTTATTTGAACCTTTTTGATTCATTCGAGTAGTTAAAGATTTCTCTCAAGTTGTCTTCCCAATTTTCTAAAAATTATATTTTCTTTGTTTCTTATAAAAACATGTTAATATTCAATTTGTATTGAACAATATTAAAATTTTGGGGAAATTGTATAGTCATAAATGCTAGTGCCTTAAAACAAAACCACTATTTTTAGTTTTCCAAAAGGAATTTTGGTTACATGGTAAAAAGTTGCTAAAATCAAATTGTGGAAAAAGACTGTTTAGTTTGTTGAAAAATTAATAGAAAGTGTATTTATTTATTTTTTTAGTTGTGTTTGTGTGTCTATTCTACGGATTAAGTGTGTCTTTTTGTTTTACTATTTTTTGATTTTATTATTTGTGCTCTGTTTTATAAATGTTTTTGTAATTGTAATTGTGTTATGATCCAAAAAAATATATATTTCAAAGAGAAAATAAAAATAAATGGGTATCTAAGGAACAAATAAATATAAAAATAAGTAAATCAGTAAAAGTGTTAGATATATGTGTACTAAAAGGATCTGATATTTTTAGAATTAATTCTTACAGTGAGGTCATTGGTTTTTTTCAGTAGGCTAACAGTTTTTAGTGTGCATTTTTTAATGTCCTGGTCCTCCAGGTTGGGGGTTGAGTGTTGGGCAAACGACCCACCTCGTAAAAATAATGTTACAAACACCAACATGGCAGCACGATGGTCTGGTGGGTAGCAAAATCGCCTCACAGCAAGAAGGTCCCTGGTTCGAGCCCTGGCTGGGTCAGTTGGTATTTCTGTGTGGAGTTTGCATGTTCTCCCTGTGTTTGCACCTGTGTCCTCCTGGTGCTCCGGTGCAAAAACATGTGCTATAGGTTAATTGGGTAAGCTAAAATTGTCTGTAGTGTATGAATGTGAATGAGAGTGTATAGGTGTTTCCCAGTGATAGGTTGCAGCTGGAAGGGCATCTGCTGCTATGTAAAACACATGCTAGATGACTTGGCGGTTCATTCCACTGTAACAATCCCTGATTAATAAAGGGACTAAGCCCAAAAAGAAAATGAATTAGCAATAGAGTAAAATAGGTGAACAAAAAATGTCTTAACATATAGTTAGGCGAGTTGCTCAATGAGTACTTCTTCTACTGAGTACTAACTTCTTCTTGATCAAAGTGAGTCATTCAAAAGTCAAAATTAAAACAAATGTAAAAAAATTAATAAACACAGTAAAAAAAAATGAATAAACTTGATTTAAAAGTCTGTTATTAAAATCTAGAAATAAATTAACAAGTATATCAAAGGTAACCTAAAACACTGACATGTAGGCCTGATTAAACCTTATAGTATTACCAAAATATATTATTGTTGTTACAGGAATCCCCCTTTTTTACTGTTTGTTATAAATATAAGCCCATATTTTAATAAAATATATAATATATTAGTGCATGGTTAAAAATAATAAACCATAATCAAATATATATGTGTAGAAATGTTCACTGATTAATTAATGTTTGAAGAAGTTTATTGTAAAATAGAGATGGGAAATACAAAAAACTCGACTTTGGCCTGTTTGTAGGCATATAGAGTCTAACAAAATTACATGTCTCAATTTCTTTGTCTAAAGTTCTTGCTGCATGCCTGTATGTATTTAGGATAAAGTCTAAATAAATATGTTAAAGTCTACTGGATTCAGCTATTCAAAAATACAGTCATTTGCCGCCACCTATTGTTGCAAGGCAGTGCTGCTTCCCACAGAGCAAAGTAAGGATTTATTAACATGTGTGGAAAGAAATAAATGCAGTTTCTATAGTTTGAAAACACTGACAAGGAAGCTGTCACAAAAACCTCTCCCCACACTAATTGTTTAGTATCTTGTAGCCTGTGACCTACTATGGTTTATAGTGCCACCATCATTAGCCAATACTTAAAGAGATAGTTCATCCAAAAAAAAGATAATTCTGTCATCATTTAGCCTACTCTGACTTCCTTTGCTTCATCCAGTGTTCCCCAGCCTTCGACGCCTAGACTGCAGCTCTGCACAGGACATTTGGCCAGAAGAGAAATGGCCATGCCTAACTGTGCCTAGTTTCTCTCAAGGTTTTTTCTTCCTTCACTTTCGTCAATTAGTTTGCTCCTCGCCACTGTGGCCACTGGCTTGCTTGGTTTGGGACCTATGGAGCTACGCATCCATGAATTTGCTTTTCAGTGTTTTTAACTCTCAGTATTGGATATTAAACCACTCTAAACAAAACTAAACTGAATTTTAACTCTGAAAACTGGACTGAAACAGTTTCAATTTACTAGAACTTCAAGCTGCTTTGACACAATCTACATTGCAAAAGTACGTACAATTTTGTATTCAACATTTGACAAAATCTAAACTGAACCACATCGAGAGGGCGGAACATATAGTAGCCCCACTCCTTTTTAGAAAAATCACAGCTCTGCCAGTGAGAGTGGTTGAGCTCAAGCACATCAAATAAAAAGCAACAGAGAAACGTCTTAAAGGGGGTGGGGCATGTCAGATACTAGAGAGCATTTGATTGGTCAAGATTTAATGAGAAACTAAATTATATTTTGTATTTTAATTTCACTGGACCTTAAGTTTCTTTCTTGTTGAACACATAATATATTTTTGAAGAAAGCTGCAGTGTTGCCAACTTAGCGATTTTGTCACTACATTTATTATATTATTATATATTAAGCGACTTTTCAGACCTCCCTAGTGACAAATTTTCAAAAACACGATTAGCGACAAATCTTGCGACTTTTTTGTTGTCATGGAGATTTTTTTGATTCTTAAGGCTCATACACACCGGGATGCTTTCCGTTTGCGTCGGCATTTTTCAAGACATTTTTTGGATTCAAACGCGGGTTATTTTCACAGGCGTCAAGTAGAAGAGGAAGCAAAATCGATAGATGGCGCTACACAACTTTAAGCTTCTGACACCCGCTTGTAACAGAGAAGAAGATAACATAAGGTTTACACGCTTGTTGTTAAAATTACTGGCGATTTGAACAAGCATGGATTGTTCAAGTAGCAGCTCTAGCGATGAAGAAATGATTATTGTTCACCAGTGCAATAAGCAGCCCCAAGTTCATATCGCCTCTGGGCATCTTCTTCAATGTGCGCTCTTTTTGACTGTTTTGCGCTTGAGCGCCTCCAAGTGCTGTTTACTGTAACTTCAGCAGCTCCATGCACATGAACAAAAGTGGCAAACTGATTGTTGGAGAAAATTTTGACGCAGCATTTTTTTCTAAAAAATGACGCTTTTACGCCTGTCGCTTTGCGCGTTGGTGTGCATGATCACATTTATTTAGTCACGAGGCTTTAAACTTTGACGGAAAATGCGAGCAAAAAGCGTCCCGGTTTGCCCGAGCATTTAGGCCACCTTTCCACTGCACACGATATTTGGACACAACTGTCGGAATACGCCCCCTTGTGGCAGTCGCACAGAATTTTCAGTTTTGTCGTGCACCATGGGATAGAAGCTGATTACCGCAGATTCTCAAATAATGGAATACAAACTCATAGACCACTACAAATTTTGAAGGAAATGTGGAGACAACATAAAAAATATGTTTTATTACTGATTTATTAATAGAAATGTTTTTTTAATATAGACTTTTTTCTGATTCAAAAAATAGAGCCAAAAAACTACTACATTGTTTCTCATCTCACTTCCACAGATCTGCTTGAACAACACTGGAATACATCACATCCGGTCGGCCGTCGCATACGGTCTAGTCGCAGGAGTTCAAATATTTTAAAAGATCCACAGCTCAAATCGTATCCGAATTTTCCAAATACGGAGATTATCAGAACTCCACACAGCTCCTGGACCACTTTTCATTGGAAATGAATGACTTCCGGTCTGTCGCTTGTCGTATTCCTACTCTTCTCAATGAGCTGCGGGTGATGCAGTCGGCCCCTCCCCCGCCTTAGCGCACTCACAGGCGGCCCAGTACCACACAACCGTCTCTCATAGATCACCTGTGTACCAACAGCAAATGATTTAGCACCACGAGTCTGAGGTATTTCCCTTGGACAGTCAAACTGATCTGCTTCTCTTTTCTTTCAAATTTAACAATTTAATTTGACCTTTCATTCTTTTCTTGTTAATAATCACAGAGAATTTAGAAACAGTTTCTGAACTTGTGTGAGTTTATGTCAGAGAGTCTACTGCAAATTTAAAAAAAAGCGTAATACGAATATAAATATCCCTTTGTTAACCATAGGCTGTTAAACAAACAGAAACTGCTGGACATGATGACATCGGTAATATGCAAATTGACGTATGACATAATCTAGCAACATTTAGCGACTTTTCATTAAAATAGTTGGCAACACTGGAAAGCTGAAAACATGTAACTATTGTTTTCTATACTTGTTTTTCCTACTATGTAAGTTAATGGTTTTCAGCTTTCTTCAAAGTATCATTTTTTGTGTTCAACAGAAGAAACTTGTAAGGGTTTGAAACCATTTGAGGGTGAGTAAATAGTGAGCAATATTTCATTTTTGGCTGAACTATTGATTTAACTTTTCTTATGTGTATTTCTTACTGTTTATTTTGCTTGGTTGTTTTAAACTTTTTGTCCTGCCTGTGTTTCTATTTGTTATGATATACTAAATTCAAAAATATGATAATTTGTTTCCGCCTACTGCAATGCTGCCATTGCTCTGCTATGCACAGATTTGAAGTCTATCATTGAGTCTATCTATTTACTAGTGTATATGTGTTTAAATTTATATTTTTTCAGTTTTTAAATGAATTTCACTAACATCATCATGATATAAAAATAGTAATATTAAAATGTTCATATGATTTATTTACAATACAGTTTGTAAAATAATATTTTCTGTCTTTTAGTAGATATATTATACAGGAGACTTGCTTTGTTTACCAAATAAGTGCATCTAGATGGATTTGCATTGTAAACAGTAAAAAAAAGTTAATAATGTATTATTTTTATATCACATATTAAGTTTTTAGTTATGATGCTGCTAAAACCATTCTGCATAAATCCGCAGATTTTTTATTCAACAGAAGAAACTCATAAGGGTTTGGAACCACTTGAGGTTGAGTAAATAGTAAGTAATATTTCATTTTTGGCTGAACTATCGATTTACCTTTTCGTACGTGTGTTTCAAAAATACTGTAATTTGTTGAAGCCTACTGCAAAGCTACCTGCATTGACTGTCAGAGCCTCAATTAAATGATTTTCAGTTTTCTTCAAGGTATCTTCTTGTGTTCAATGGAAGAAACTCATAACAGTTTGAAAGCAGTGAGTAAAGAGTAAAATTAGATTTTTGGCTTAAATATCCCATATTTAGGCCCACATGGATTAAATTTATATTTATTCAGTTTTTAAATTAATTTCACTAATATCATTATATGGCGAAGTAGGTAGTGCTGTCGCCTCACAGCAAGAAGGTTGCTGGGTCGCTGGTTCTGGTTCTGTGTGGAGATAGCAAGTTCTCCCTGCATTTGCGTGGGTTTCCTCCGGGTGCTCCGGTTTCCTCCACAGTCCAAAGACATGAGGTACAGGTTAATTGGGTAGGCTAAATTGTCCGTAGTGTATGAGTGTGTGTGTGAATGTGTGTGTGGATGTTTCCCAGAGATGTGGCTGGAGGGGCAATTGCTGCATAAAAACTTGCTGGACAAGTTGGCAGTTCATTCCGCTGTGGCGACCCCGGATTAATAAAGGGACTAAGCCAACAAGAAAATGAATTAAATAATATCATTATAACAATAGTAATATTGAAATGTTCATATGATTTATTTACAATACAGTTTGTAAAATAATATTTTCTGTCTTTTAGTAGATATTATACAAGAGACTTGCTTTGTTTACCAAATAAGTGGATTTTTGTTGCAAACAGTAAACAATTATTTAAAAATTTAAGGTTAATTTAAGTAAAAAATTTATAATTTTTTTTATTATACATTAAGTTTTTAGTTATGATACTTTTAAAATCATTCTGCATAAATCCGCAATTTTTTTTAACAAAATGCTCAGCAGACATAGCAAAGAAATGACCACAGTTTCTGTCTGTCTGTTATTTCCAATGGTTGATTTATTGTTTGTATTTAAACTTTGTTTCCTGCGTTTCAATTTTATGACACACCTAACTGAAAAACACGGTAATTTGTCGCCACCTACTGCTACAAGGCAAAGCTGCTCCCCACTGAGCAAAATAAGGATTTATTAGGAAAGAAATTGTTTGAAAACATCGTAAGACGGACGCCGTAGTGTGTACATCAGTTAACTTTTTTAAAAAATATATATTTGAACATATTTTCTGAACACTATCTTTTGGCAGGATCTCGTATCCGTTGACCTACTATGGGCATATTGCGCACGGTGGCGGAAGGCGGAGCGGAAGGCGGTATGAAAGCCTCACATGCCTCGCTTCATCCTCCGCCTCTCTACAGCAAAATGGCGACTGTTGACTACGACTCGTCCGTGGATCCAGAGATGGACTTAACCAGCGACGAGGAGTTAGAGAGGTACCCGAAAAGCCGAATCACTTTAATACGAAGCCGGCTAGTCTGGCCTTGAGCTAGCTGTGTTTTGGCAAAGCCCCGATCGGGCACATGGGTGTACGAAGGACTCTGAGATCGAGATTGCCGCATAACTTGAAAATCAAGGGGTGTCGATGGCCTAGTGTGCCAGGCGCCTGCTTTAACATTGGGGTGCCTTGCGATTAACCTGTACTTGTTTTTGAGCACATGCTTAAATGGGCTTTGACCTTTATAGTCGATGCTAAAGTGTGCCATGCGTCGTATATGAACACGACAGATGTGCTGTGCGCCGTGACACAGTTTTAAGGGTAAGAATTAGGTTGAATGCAACGTGACATCATCACTGCTCTTAAGAACACAATGCAGACCCACTTTAGCCGGCACACATGACAGCTCAAACATCTGGTTGTCCGGCGATGACGCATTGTTGTGTTAAATTGCTTGAAATTGTGCTAGTTGCTAATTTGAGGTGACAACAATGCACATGCATGTAATGTCAGTCTATAGAGGAAATGACGTTCTGTCCATGCAGTCTCCTTGTATCATCAAAGGACAATAAGTTTCGGCTAGATTCTACATTTTGTTCATGTTGGAAAAAGCATACAACTGTAGTCGTCTTTTCATTTATTTATTTGTTTATTTAAGAATAATATCTCTTAAAGAGACAGCTCACCAAAAAGTATGAACATCTCCACACGTGTTTAAATGACACCGCACGGCAATTTAGGGGACGTTATGACAACTAATACATCGTTCAGATTTGTTTTGTTTAAAAAAAAAAAAAACGAAAGTAAAAGGAAGCTGTCAGTCTCGAACATTCTACCTGACATCTCCTTTGATAAATTGTAGTTAACATTAGTGGTGTACTGTCTCTTTAATGCATGTGACGTTTCAATTATATTTATTCTTCACTGCCACTTTTGGAAGTTGAGACATTAATTCGACCCTGAACGCATTTAGGATATGCTTTGTGATGATCAGTTTTTATCTTCTGGAACTTTCTGTCTGAGGTTTCTGTGGACGTACTGACAGACGGACGCTTGACTTGAATTATTAGCATGTTGAGTTGCAAAGATCGGTTACCGGACTGTAACTCGAGGAAGTTAACCTGCTGTGACATAACTTGTCTGACATAACTTTTGCCATCCAAAGTGTAGTTACCGGTATTACCTGACAAAGACGCACACTGATGCAGTGTAAGTGCTGGACTTGGATATTGTCATCCATTTTGGAAGCTATAGTTAGCTAATGTAATGTAATTGTGTCTCAGTTGATTTTTATTTCACTTAAAGGGAAGTTGACAAAAAAAAATAAACGTATGTGATGTAACTATCCCCATGTGGTTTTAACATTTATGTTCTTTATTTTATTAAAATACTAAAGAAGGTGTTTTGAAGAGCTGAAAACCTGTATCATTTGACTTTTGCGGTTGGGAAAACAAATGCTATGGAAGTCAATGTTTACAATTTTTCAACTTTCTTCAGAATTTTTTACAATTAGATTTTTTTTAACAATGATCGATCAACCTTTAAAGTGCTGTGCAATTAATCGAAATCGAATCACAATCGTTTTGAAACCCTACGTTCATCTAATTGCAAGAGGCTGCGATTTATATATTATTTAATTGTGACAGTCTTACTAAGCCAATTGAATGAGCACACTTTCGTTCGGCCAATCAGAAGTGCAACAGATCTATGCGGAATGCCCACATTAAAAAACAAACAAACTGGAAAGCACAGACGAGTGAGATGGTGTCGGTTGCTTGAAAAGCATTAATAGACAAATTAATATCAAAGAGAAACAGAACATCAGTAATATGAGAATATTTTTCTTTTAAAGTCCCAGACACCGATCAAAAACAGGTAATTTGTCTGACACAGAATTGTTACCAGCATGGGGAAATACAACAACCAGCACCTGAAAAAGCACCACAGGTGGCTTTATGAGGAGTGTGATTGAGCTGAAGCTTAACTAAGAAATTTAATCACAAATCAAATCAAAATTGCAAAATGTAAAAAAATATATATATATCGCAATTAGATCTTTTCCCAAATTGCACAGCCGTACTTTGCAGACATGCCTACTCTGAGCTAAGCATATTGTTTGTAAGTTTTTGATTGATTGGGCTTTTTTAGCACCTCTATGCCTCTTGTGTTATCCTAGGCCCAAGATGTTTTTTTTCTACATGGATTTTTAAATTTCTTTTTGCTATTTAGGCTTATTGGAACCTAATTAGAATAAAACCCAAGTATCATCTGGTCCGAATTTACATAAAATGCATATTTTAATGCATTAATAACACATAAAACACATTTTTTTGAACATGTATTGACTATCAGTAAACAAAACAATATCGGGGCCATTTCGGACAGTTAAAATAGTGTTTGGGTCATTTCAGATGCTGCAAAACAGTTGCAGGATGACACTATGTCTGTAACAAAATATAAAACATAAGAGCTAAAATGTGCTGCTGTCACAGGGTTCCTGGAGGTCAAAACAGGGTTTTGTTTTTTAGTATGTTAAATAATTATTTTTAGTTCAAAAAGCCAGTTTTTGTTGATAGATCTATAATCTGAAAAACTTAAAAAAAAAAAAAAAAAATTAAACTAAAATGTAAGTTTTTTTTTTTTTACACTTTTAAAATACTTAAAGGATAGTTCACCCCTAAACTGAACGTTGACATTAGCCCCTTTCACACAGTGATACCGGAAAATATCCGGAAAATTTACGGAACGACTTTACCGGTATGTTCAAAAAAGCGCTGTTCACACAGGCGAGGACGTTACGGAAATTTTCCGGAAAAGAGCATTCACACATCCATTCCAAAATACCGGTAAATTCTGACATCATTCACCACAAATGAGCTTTAAACGGCTGCGCTTGTATTTGTAAACATTTGACTAAATTACAAACTCTTTTGATGATCAATATTGTAAACAACTTTCACAGGATCATATTCGCATGTCGAGATGTTCATAATATGTGCGTGTGCTGGCGCTCACAGGCTGTTTCATGGGCACACGCAAAGCTTGAAGGTAAACAAACAACGGCTTATCATAAGCATCTTATCGATGATTATTTGCACAGTTGGCATTAAGGAGAACATATAAACGTGATCTGACTAACTTCTAGCAGCTAAATGCGTCTGGAAAAATATTCAAAGGCTTTTATTCTCACAAACCGCGCGGACGTAAATGCGTCTGACTGTTGTGATTGGCTAAAGCAGAAGTCTTACGTCAGCACGTTCTAGACGTGCACGCGCTTATTCCGGAAATATTCCTTCTGCGTTCACACAGCGCAGCATTCCGGCAAATTGCCGTTAATGTTACAACTTCTCTTTCCGGAAAATAGCCAGAACGAATTTACCGGTATTTTCAAAAAGGACCTGTTCACACATACAACCTTTCCGGAAAATTGCCGGTAATTTTCCGGAAAGGTCTGTATGTGTGAAAGGGGCAATTGATTACTTACCCTCATGTCATTTCTAGTCTGTAAGACCTTTCTTTATCCTATGAACACAAATTAAAATATTTTGGATAAAACATCCAAGAGTTCTCTTACCCTCCATAAGGGTAAGAGAACTCAAGAGAACGGCATCAAGAAACATTTAAAGTCCACAAAGTTCGAAGAACATCCTCAAAACAGTTCATATGTCACCAGTGGTTTATTTTAGGAAGCTACAAAAGCATACTTGATCAGATTTCAACAAAATTCATGTAGTTTGTGTTTGGAAGATGAACAAAAGTTTCAGGTGTTTGGCACATCTAGAGGGTAATTGACGATAGAGTTGTCATTTTTGAGTGAACTATTAGCATATTTTGTGTTCTCTATATTTGAGTATGGCTTTCTCAATGCCTCTTGGGATTGTGTTTTTTTTTTTTTTGTATCCAAGTACTTTTTGTTCCTAATAACATTACAAAGTAATTCAGGTTAGATGAATTGAAGTTTCTAAATCGTCTTTTTCCTGACTTAAAAAACTATTTTTTTAAGTCCTGACTATTTTCCTGAAAATAACTGAAGTTTTTTTCAACTACTGCTTTGTAACACCTTCATGTTCATAGCATGTTATTAACAAACCATTACAATTTTTAGCTCAATAAACTACTAATTAGCTGCTTGTCGTTAATAAGGTGGCACTTCTGTTTAGATATTGGGTAGGATTAGAGATGTAAAATAAGATCATACTTTACAAGTGCTAGTTAATGACTTCATAATAGGCAGGTAATAAGCCACTAGTAAATGTTGTGAATTGTTGAAACTAAAGTGTTATCAAATATCCGAAAATAAATCGGGCTAAGAAAAAAACATTTCAGAAAAAATGGACTACATAGGGAGCCTCCGCTATGTCGAGAGACCTTTGAATAGCACGTGTGAGCTATAGTACTGTCAGCTTATGTGCCTGATCGGCAAATGATTAACGTCACTACGCCTAGGCCTGGTTTTGGTTTACAGGGTGTGTGAGCATGACGTTATGCTTTGGGTCAGAATAAAGCAGTGTATTTGCGTGACCACACAGGTGGCACAGGACAAACGCGTCACTACAGCTGCTGTCTGTCAGAGGAGAGTGTGAGCTTGAGCATCTTTGTGCAGTTAAGTCAACTCAGCTGTTGACTGCAGTGAGAATATTCTAGGGATAATGGTGGTGTTACCTGGTGGTTACATTGTTTGGCTTGTAAGCAGGCTTTTATTTTTAAGTAAATGGCATGCTGATGACCACAATGAAATAGTCAAGTTTGTTGTTTCTCATTTTTATAGACTTCTCAGGGCTCACTCACGCTAAATGCATATTTGCTTTTAAAAACTTTTTTGAGGGGTGCGCATCAGCTCTTCATGGACCTCTCACCTCTCTTCCCAGCTCTTCTCTTTTATGCTGTATAAATGGGGAAAACTTAAAACTGGTAATGCAACACTTATTATCTGGCCTTTTTGAATGTATACTGCCCTCTATTGTTTCCCAGAAAGCCCTCTATCCCACCTGACTATACATCTGTGGGCCGTTTGATTGATTTAAAACAGACACTGCTGATGGTGGAGGCTCTATGTTTAGCAGGCTCATCTGACTTTGTACACTCCCCCCTAACACCACTAGATCAGAACATGGTGTGGAGAGTAAATACACATAAACGGCTTCATTGACTTTGACAGCATTGCCATTTGTAGAAGAGATTAGTTCACTACCTGAATAAAACAAATCTTGAAAATTAGTCAAGGTTTTCGAGGAAAACCTAAAGGATTTTTCTTTTATAGTGGGTTGTGGAGCTGAATTTATAAACTTTTTGAACACAAAAGCTTTGGGAATAAATCATGAAGTACCTTTTTTTTTTTTTTTTTTAAAGAGGGTGACAGATCATTTTGCTATGTTAGACTCATATTCATTGGCTTAAAGCTGCATTAAAACTGCACTAAAGATCAGACCACTGAGCATTACAGTTGTCCAGTATAGGGAAAATAATCCTCCATGTTTTCTGTAAAAAGAAACACTGAAGAGAGACAGAATTGAAAGTTTTTAAGGGTGTGACTTGTCAGGACATTTAGATTCTGAAAGTGAACTAATCCTTTGTTGTTGTGTGTTTGGGTATTTATTACTCCCGTATAGCAAGGTATGCAGGTGAGGTATTCTAGGTCCTGACAATGCAGCCCATTCTCCAGATCTCTGAAATGCGATATGCGTAAGCTAGTAGCGGTTTCCGATCTATATCATTTGCTTTTGTGTGACCGGCCTCCACAACACAAAGTAGATATTCTGATAGTTTCTTGCTGTTGTTATGCACAGTTTTGCATAAATTAAGAATAAATGACATTCAAATCAAAATCATGCAACTAACTTGATGTTCTAAAAAAGTTAATTTCTGTAATGTGTTAAATTGAATCAAAATGGATTTCAATATTGATTTGATCATTAGCGCAGATATCTTCAATGGCTGGATTAAGATCGTCTAGGGCAGGGATGCCGAAACGCGGTCCTGTAGGGCCGTTGTCCTGCATAGTTTAGTTCCAAGTTCTTTCAACACACCTGCCGGGTAGTTTCAAGTATACCTGGAAAGAGCTTGATTAGCTGGTTCAGGGGTGTTTAATTGGGTTGGAACTACAATATGCAGGGCGCAGGTCCTTCAGGACCGAGTTTAGACACCCCTGGTCTAGGGGGTTGAATCGTACAGCCCTAGACAACATATGCACCTAATACACAGATACACGTCATTGAACATGTACACCTAGACATCTTTTTTATTTGGAAGGACACCATATACTATTTAAGTGCAGGTTAACTGTGTTCATATATGTTCACCCTATACACTACTCCTTCACTGGAATGCAATAATGTGCACTTTTTGTAAAGCTGCTTTGAAACGATTATTATAAAAAGCGCTAAACTTGAATTGAATAAATACTGTCCATAGTAATGTTGTAACCCCCCCCCCCCCCCCCATTTTATTATTCAGCTGCTTATGCATAAAACCCACTTATTAATTTCTATATGAATCAGCATTTTTTTTTTGTGTGAGATATGACGCAATCACAAATACATTTTTACTCAATACTACTCGCCACCTACTTGGGTTATGATTATGATGTACAGTTTTCCTTTAAAATTGTGATTTAGATGCATTCCTTAATAGAACCATAAAGATTAGTATTATCAAATAGAATCTGTTTTTTATGTAGTACTGTCTGTTTAAAATAATTTAACCATATTTATACTTCAGCTTCTCTCTCCGATCAGTAATTGTGTTGCAGATTTGAAATGATTGTAGTTGTCAATGTTTTAATAGACAAGACTGAGTTGTTGTAAAGGAAAACCATATATACTTTTTAAAATTGAGTTTATTTGGGTTTTTTTAATGCTTCAAGGAACACTCCATTTGTTATGCAAATAGGCACGTTTTATAACTCCTACTCTAGTTTGTATTAGTGCCTGTTGTAACTACAGAAGAGTCAAGCTGTAAATCAAAAAATATATATTTTGAGTGGGATGCTAATGGTTAATCTGATTTATGCTAAGCTAAGCTGAAAAGGCTCCCGCCAGCCTTTAGCTGCGTCCCAAATCGCATACTTTTGCACTATTCTATGCCATTTTGTTGTATGAATAGTGTAAGTAGTGCGTTCACACTGACAACTCTAAAGATAATAATTGCACTTTAATTACCTGGATAATGCACTCATTCAGCTGGTAAAATGAAGTGTGGAATGATGGACACTTTACACACTCAACGACGGCTGCTTTGCTCGCGTAGCTGAAGAGGCGAAGCTATCAGGTGCACATGTTAGATAATATTATTTATTTTAGATGGTAAAAGCAAAATTCTCCCACGAGAGTGATTATACCACCTCCCGATGGTGAATGCGGTTATACTCATGGCAGGTATTATTTGATTGTTTGGTCATTTATTTCACTGATTTGGCAACAGTCAAACATCATCAGGGAAACGGTTTGAATTTCCACGCCGTAAAAAACATTAGTGCTCCATTTGGGATGACACTACATACATAGACTATAATGTTGAGTGCGTAAGTGCATAAGTACATGGTGTGTAGTGTGCCGTTTGCCAGCTGTGCGCAGCTTTTGAGATGGGCTGAATGGATTCAAAAAAGGTAAAACTCAACTGTTGAACTCTAGAGCAGGGGTCACCAATCTCGTTCCTGGAGGTCCGGTGCCCTGTAGGGTTTAGCTCCAAGTTGCCTCAACACATGTGCTTGGGTGTTTCAAGTATACCTAGTAAGACCTTGATTAGCTTGTTCAGGTGTGTTTGATTAGGGTTGGAGCTAAAATCTGCAGGACACCGGACCTCCAGGAACGAGTTTGGTGATCCCTGCTCTAGAGGATTTTAACTCAGAGCCTATTTCCAAAAGAATGGAGTGTTTCTTTTAATGTTCAGCTCTAAACTGCTGTAACTTTTTATGTGTATTATAATATAATTTTGTTTGTTGAATCTTTAGGGAAGCTGAAGGTTTCAAAGAACAGGGAAACGCATACTATGTCAAAAAGGACTATGCTGAAGCTTTCAACTTTTACACCAAGGCCATCGGTAAGACCCCTTTCAAGTCTACTAGGCTTTCTAGTTTATGGTTCTTGCGATATGTATATTGCTGGTTGGTTCCTACACATCTCTGAATCATGTTCTGCCTTCACAACAGATTCTGATGCTCCCTCATAAGCACGTTATATCCAAATTTTCCACACGTTTTCTTTTGAAGCATCATAATTCCCAGAATAGATTTTGTCATGGCAACAACTTGCATTGCAAAGATTTAGATTACTTTTTGCTTTTGTAGTTGTGACAAAAATAGCCGTTTTTCTGTTGATCTGAAGTGTCTGTCTACATCATTTGTTTGGGTTTATTTTTTTTTTTTTTACAGACCTCTGCCCAAAAAATGCCAGTTACTATGGCAACCGTGCAGCCACATTGATGATGCTGAGTCGCTACAGAGAGGCACTAGAGGATTCTCAGCAGGCCGTGCGACTAGATGATAGCTTCATGAAGGTGAGGCTTTAAGGGTCAGAAACTCTTTCGATATTTTGATTGTTTCTATGACATTTAATTGGGAAACTCTCAAAAGGTTACATTGTCTTGCGCGTTTGGGTTCTTGAGTTGATGAAATGCTAATAATCAATAAAACATTGTCATGTCCCTTCCGTTTTAATGGTCGGAGGGTACAAAAAAGAAATCATTAAGCCAGTTGTAATTATTATTGTTCTTCATTATCATAAATGACAACAATACACGAAAGTACTATTTAAGTGAATTGGTTTATCATAAACAAGGTTTAAATGTTTGAATGCTTAAAGAAAAAAAAGTTTCACACAAAAGTAGGTGTAAGAAATAAGACGACAATTTCACAAAATAAATCAACCAAGATTAACAGACATAAGGAGGACAAGGGGAACAGGATTGTGTCAGACAAAGGAAAATAATAAAAGAAGAATCAACTAACTAGCACATTTATGCTTTCCCAAGAACTACAAAATATAAGTAAACCTTCAATTTCAGAGACGTTGTATCTTACCTACTCTCTCTTTCCAAAGCAAATCTTACGAGTGTGGCACTAATCCATAACCTAATGTTTAAATAAAAGTTTGCTGCATGTGTGCCATGTTTATCACGTCACAGAGTTTGCCCATTCCCTCCCCTCCATCCGGAATATTACACAGATACGATGTTCACACTTCAGTTCTCAAAGTAGTTTTAAACAAAAACGTTTCAATATTGAATGCCAAACAAAGCACACTTCAAAAGTTGAACAAACATTGGCTGAACAAAGCAAAAAGAAACACATTTAAAACAAATATTAAACACTGCTCAAGTTCACATGAAATGCCACTTATCCTGTACTGCATCAGAAACCGCATACTTCCATACTATACAGTACACAAAAATCAGTATTTGAGCCGAGTAGTATGTCCGAATTCATAGAATTCAAAAATCAGAATTAGAAAAGTACCCGGATCACCTACTACTTGCGGTGAGATTCTGAAATGTGCATCCAATGCACGTTACGCTATCCCATGATGCACCGCGAAAGAATACATGAATGAACTTTTCTAATAATCGAGAAGTACATTTAAATTCAAATGCAGTACCTATTAAGTAGTATGCGATTTCGGACTTAGCCAAGGACAAAATAAATAGTAGTATTAATAATAATTTTAAGAATAATGAGTAAATAAATAAATGAATGAATAAAACTGCTTATCCACCATAACTACATGTAATAGCTTTTATATATTGCTGCCTTCTGATGATTTGAAGTTCTTTTATTTTCGTTTAAAAGGAGCGTCTGCTAAAAGAATAAATATAAAAATGTGCCCGTTATGGACTTGGATAACTGTAAACATGCAAATGAGATGTTATTGAAATATTTCAATATGTAAAGGGCCATGAATCCCCCTCGTTTCAGCAGGGTGTTTTCACACCTCAGAAAGTCAGTAAAGTGGGCGTGTCCAGCTCTGTTTAGGGGGGAGTGTCGGAGGAAGAAAAGTGGGATGGTGTGGGAGTGTCTATTTGGGCATGCGCGAGTTTCAGAGTCAAAATACACACAAACACACAGGAGAAAGTGATGGTGTTTAACCTACATGGACATCTGTAGTGGAATTATTTGCCAAATTATTAAATGGTGGACTTTAACTGCAGTTTGGCTCTTTCATTCAGGGAATTCATTCATGCCCCTCGCGACAAACGAGATATTTGATTCGAGGAACTGCTTTAAGCGTGTATTTTTCATGCAATGTTTGATACCGCACGGCGAATGAGAGAAAAAAAAAAACTCAGCATTTCCCAGAAACTTAAATGCACACGGCAGGTAGTGTCAGAAAGTTGCGTGTGTTATTCCAGTCACTAAATGCGGTGAAAACCCTACACGAGGTTAAAGTTTGGTTGTGGTGCTAACATGTTTACGCTCGGTGCAATAGTTAACTTAGTTCGATACGAACAAACTGAATAAACAAAGAGCGCTGGTCGCTCACTTACCAAATCTGTAGAGACAGGACATTCACCAGCAACTAGAGCCGCTTCTTTATGAAGAGAAGACTACAAGCGAATCTGGATCTCAGCGTTTGCAGATGAGAACAGCTCTCAGGTAAACAATAATCCTCCTTAGACACGTAAGTTATTGTTGTTGAGCATCGCGTACACTGTTAATCCACACGTGAGTCTAAGCTCTCACAGAGAGAAAATGAAAACGAAACTTAACTGCAGCAAACTATAAAAGCAACACTTCACGCTTGTTTTGCCAACACAACGTGGTGTGAGTGTCGTCTAAACACTGTGACAGTAATGAATATTATTGAAGTTGCACAATAGAGCGCGCTGATTGGTTTGAACAAGCCTTACTCATGCATTAATGCATCACACTGTAAGACGTAATAAGACGCTGGAATACAACGCTATTATGTCATGACCGTGACGCAGCTTCAAAAATTCGTTTCAAACCGGAAGTACGAATTTGCTTGAAATAACTCAAACAACCAATTTACACTTTTTAGTGAAATATAGGTGTCCTAATAGTGTTTTTAGCAGTGTGGGACACATATACGACTGTCAACAGCTCAAAAAATGTGTTTTGGTGTTTCGTGACCCTTTAATATTTTGAAATGTTCATTAATAAAGATATGTTAATGATGCAGCTGAAAATTGTGTCTGAAAAGTGTAAATGTTTCTAAATTTTGAGATGTAGAACCAGTTTTGCGTGTGTTGGTTCATATGTTTTATTTTGACTTAATCTTTTAGTTATATGTGCATTATTTAAAGTCATAAAAACTAGTTAAAGTTAGAGCTTAAATATCTATGCTGTTTTTACAACTGGCTCATTTGATGTGTTTGTTGCAGAATCTGCCTTCAGTTTTGTTGTTGTTGTTGTTTTATGCAAATATAAATCGTAATCATGCTCTTAATCTCAATAGGGGGAAAAAGGCCAGTTGTCTCAACCCTTTTAGAAATGTATACAAATATTCCCCCGTCTCTCATTCGGTGCACATCCAAAGGTTTACTGCTTTACACGTTTTGCATCATTTTTAACTTAAGGCTGGACATTTAAGATTTCTTTTATTATTAGCATTTCATCAACTCAACCTCAGCTTGCTTGATGTTGTTAAAGTTGTTTGGAACATGTAACTTCAATTGCTGCTAACCGCATTTTCTGGAATTGAAGCATATTGAGCGTCTCGCTACATTACTATTGTGACTACATTGTCATGTGATTGTGGTGCCACTGCAGTGAAAGCATTGCATCATGCGCTGTGATGTTAAATGAAAGCTAAAATATGACTGAGCAAGATAATGAATAGTAGATGTACTAAAGTACTAAGTTTCCAAAAAATGACTGAAGCAAATATCCATTAGCTACATGAATTGAAAAAGCTAGTTGGCTTCTCAACTCAATACTTTTAAAAAGGAAAGCATAGATGTAGTGAATAAATAAAAAAAAATTAAGTATCAGTTTCTGTGTTTGTACAACCCTAATTGTACAAATTAAGTTGCAGATCACTTCATTTTAAAGTAGCAGGTCTAAATATGTACTTTGATTACAAAACAAATTGCAGTAAGAAGATTATATTATTATTTAAAAGGCCTGTCACTATAAGGAATATTTGTTGTGCAATATATTGTCACAGAAATTGTTGTGATAAGTGATATTATTGTCGTTTTGATGTCATTTCATACCACTGGTTATATATAATGATTACGTAAGAGTATAATAATGCAAATAGCCATAAACACTTGAAAATAATTATAATTTTTAAGGTTATTTAGATTTAATTTGATGTTAAAAAGTTAAAAGTACTATATATATACTATATATATATATACTATTTTATGTCCTATTAGATAATTGTCCAATTATACACTTTGACACCAGCAAGGTAGAATGCAAATGTCATTGTAAAATGGCTTTATCATTATTTGTGAATGTGTAAATGTATATTGCAATGGCAAAAATGATTGAGGTCATCTCCAAGTATTTCATGATAAGTCCTCAATACTTTGACATCTTTGACCAAATAAAATTGTTTTAAAAACTCTGAAGACCCCATTTCACTTTGGAAACCCTTGTAATCTGTTTAAGGCAGTTTATAATGTGGACTGAGATCATTTTTCTGAAATGCCAGTTGGAGCGTTTTGAGTCTAAAAGGCTGTAAAAGTGTAAATGAACTAGTGTAAAGCTGCATTCACACTAGAGCGACACCGCGGCAAAGTGACCAGCGCCCAGTTATTTCAACGGCGACTTCCAGTGACCTTGGTCTACGCGAGCAACCGCTACTATTGGCGACATAGTGGGCATGTCGAGCGACGCATCAAAGTTGAGAATCCTTTAACTTTATGCAAATGAAGAGCAACTTTTATGAGCACCAGCTAATAGGAGCACCAGTAGAGCTCACGTGATTCTCTCTCAGCTCCTGCAGCAAGATATATCCAGCTGCAGACTCAAAGACCCGCACACGTTTCAGGACACACAATCCCTGACACATTATCCAGCCTGGGCCGAACCATATTTGTGTACTGACGGATGTAAATGGTATTAGCATCTTCTCTGACCTCTGCCTAGTAACAGTTGCTACAGCCAAGTAAAAGATGGTGTTATTTATTAGTTTATCAGTTTCAAATATAGATTGCAGTATTATTCATTAGCAAAGGGTTGTAAGTCTATATACAATATAATCAAATGTTTAACTACTAAGTACTTTTTGAAACATTTTTCATTTGTTTAAATTAGTAAATCTAATCAAATATATTATAATGTGACACATTATTGTTTAAGTTTCTCATATTTTACTGCTAAATGATAATGTAAAATTAACTAAATTTAAACAACATCTAAATTTAAATTTCTTTCATGGACAATAACATAATGTGCCGTAATTTGGTTGGAAAATGCTGTAATCCACTATAAAACAATTTTATTTAACTAAAGACAACATTTAAGATTGTAAATTAGTTTATTACACTTAATCCTACAATTAGACAGTGTAATTTCGGTTTTCTTTGTGTATGTGGACGCATGCAACTCTTAGCTTAACGAATTATTTTTATTTACATAACACCAAAACACGCAGTACGCTGCACAGAGGTTAAAATAACCCTTACAATATAATAATGAAATAATATGAAACTAAACTGTATACAGTCTATTATAATGAATTCCAATCGATCGCCGTATTTGTGAAATACAGCTAGTAGCAATAATGCTCCTTAGGAGTTAGTCGCTGTTAAACAAGAAGTAGAAGAAGACTGATCAATAACTAAATATGGTCATCTTTGTAATTGAGCGTATTATGTACTGATTACGTTTGTATTTTGTGTTTTCTCTGAACGTTTACTTTCAGCAGAACGTAAACTTATTCGCTCTCTGTGACTATCACAATAAACGTTACCTGAGCAAAGTCAAGGTGGGAACACCCACAACGTTTCAGTCGCCACCCAGAGTGACAGTCGGTTACAAGGTCGCTGCTAGTGTGAATAAGTCTGATGAGTGTTAACATATGAATAGTTTTCTCACATGTAACATCACTGGTCCACTCTGTTCTTTTTGGGATCGATTTACCGACATATAAACCCTACATAAATATATTAACTAATAACAGTTTTATAGTGCAGTAAAACATTTAAATCAATTAATGGTTTCTTTTTTTCCCAACCACTTTGGTGTTTCAGTAAAATAATATTTACAGGGCTCGAAATTGCGACCATTTTGGTCGCATATGCGCCCGAAAATTAATCGATGCGACCTCATAATATATTTGGGCGCATTAGTGCGACCTGTTTTGATTTTTTTTTTTTAAACGTGCTGAATCGCTCTTCCCTGCCGCTATATTGGTTCATATTAGCTGTCAATCACTCAAGGCTTTCCACTGTTAGATGACAGGGAGGGAGCTTTTATGTCCACGGGAAATGCAAACGGCTAAAGTGTGAAAATTTAAAGCACACAGGTTTGCAAAGTGCAAACCCCACCTAAAGTTGAGGCGCAGATGAGAGCGATCATGACACGTGGTGAATATTGATCCGCCAGCTGAGATCAATAGAGTACGTGCATGCTTTTCGGAGAAGGTGGCTGAATCTCGATGTGGTGCATACACTGCGTGTTCAGCGCAAATGTCCGCTAAAAGTCAAATCTAATACTGTATCATCGCCAAAGAAGCTCGCCTTTACTAAGTTTACACTGAAACTGCGTCTCATAACAAACAGCGGTATTGCGCCGGTGCTTAACCTGCTCATAAATGGGGTCGGCTGACTCGCCTGCTTTTCCACAAACACAGAAAAATGAAAATCAGCTCAGACGGAACATTTAAATAGACACAAACTGAAACCAAAACTTTTAAAGAGTGATAGAAGTGAGACTTTACTTACTTTCTTTTGCCTATTCTTTCTTGAGGTGTATATATATTTTTTTTATTTAGTTACTGATGACTGTTTTGCAGCTTTCAGCCTTGAATTTAATATTTTATTATAATCTTTTGTTTGTTTTGCAGCAGAAATATTATTTATTAAACTGACATGCATATATATGCTGTTTAGCAGTACAAAATAAATATTTCTTACTGCAATGCTTCATTTTTGTTTGATGCAAACTATACATTTATTTTTCATAAAGTAACAGACTTTTTATAGCAGATAACTTACATTCAAACACATTCAAGGCAGCATGATGATGAGAAATGTAATTCATTGTTACTATTATTGTCATTTTCATCATCATTAATATTCTAGAACTATTAGACACACATTTTGTAATTATTGCACACAAATATCAATGTAATCTCAGCATTAGTTATAGTTGTTTCTGGTTTTTGTTAGTCCTAATTGATGTTGTTTTAAAATACAATAAGTCCCTTAAAATACAATTTGCAGCGGTGCTCAATCATTTTTGGTGGGTGCTCCTAAATTTTTTCTGGTGCTCCTAAATTTTTGAAGTTGGGAGCACCGGTGCTACCAAATAAAAAAGTTAATTTCGAGCCCTGTATTTACTATCAATGCACCAAAATAATTTAAATCAAAGAGTTTTGGCTGGCTCAGAAGAGTGCATGAGTTGATAAAATGTATACCTTTAATCTAAACGAAAATGCTTTACAGAAAAAGTGGCTGCTAATTGTAAAAAAAAAATGCTTGTAGTCTGCATTTGAATATCTTGTATAATCACCTATCATTACTGTTGTGCTTCATAGGGACACATGCGTGAGGGCAAGTGCCACCTGCTGCTTGGCAATGCAATGGCCGCCATCCGCTGCTTACAGAAAGTTTTAGAGCGGGAACCAGACAACAGCCAGGCCCAACAGGAGGTACCGTGACCATAAATAACACACACACACCGACATCCATGATCACCTGTGAGCAACATGTGTCGTTGACTCACTGGCTGTGTTTCCTGCAGATGAAGAATGCAGAATCCATCCTGGAGTACGAGCGCATGGCGGAGATCAGCTTCGAGAAGAGAGACTTCCGGATGGTGGGTGTGTCTCTCGCTGCTGTGGGGCTGATCTAGTGTTGTGCCTATATCTTATATACTTTGTATATAATATATCTATTTCTGGGTTGTTGATGTACCGTTGCCTTTTCATATATTTAATATAATACATAAACAGAATTTATTATATAATTAGTGTGGCCGTTTACCATTAAAACGACCATTAAAATGCCGTAAATGGTTCAGCTTTTGTTGTTTTTTTTTTTTTTTTTTTTTTTTTTGTGAGCTGTCTTAAGCATAGTTTAATAAATTACAGCTCTTATAAATTAAAGATTATAAAAATCATTCAATAATACTTCGTCTAATTTTACATGTGGTTATTTTAGTAAATGGCAATCGTTTTCATCCAAAAATTTTTTTTTATCCATGCATTTCTAAAAAAAAATATTTTATTTTACTTTTTGTTTCAACAGTTTGGACCTAAATGCAATCTTTAACTGACAGTCTTGCCACCTTTGGTGTGAACGCACAAAGTTCGCTCTGGCGAAACCGCTGTCTACCTTTACTACTTCACAAACAAATGCGTTAAAATTCGCTACATTGATTTTGTATTAGAGATAAACATAACATAAAACATGCTTTCCAGCGTGAAAATGTTGCACGGTTTGTATCAAATTCATTTAACTATGGAAGATCATGTGAAGATGTGGTTTTGCTCCACTTATCCAATATGTGTCCTTATGTCTGAAATATTCTGAAGCAGCAATACTGTTTTACTTTGTCTTTATAGTTAGCATGAGATTCCCACTTTTTTCAAGTAAACAATTCTAACATTAATGCACATCAGTAACTCGCCAGTAACCTTTTTAGATGTGTGTCCCTGTAAGAAAACATCATAAATAATTGGAAATCCGGCGACCGGAATAATCAAACCTTTGGGAACAACTGCGGTCAGAACTAAAGTTCACAGCACTGAGTTTTCTAGACTTCTCTCCAGCGGTGGACTTTTACATTCCGATTGGTTGCCGCTGAACCGCGTCATAGCTAATTGGTTCCTATTAAACATGAATGATTTTCAGCTAGTTTGACACTCTCACAACTTTCAGTGTGCATGCACAGTAAGGCAGCCAAAAGTGAAAGTAGACAGAGAGAACATTTTTTTTTAAAATTATTATTATTATTTTATTAATTGGTTTTTACTGACTTAAATTGTCATCAATGTTTTAATTATATAGAGGTTAGAGGACAAGTAGTTTTATAGCTTTTAGGGTGCGATTGTTTTGTTCTGAAAGAGGGATTAAAATTGTTACAAGGTTGCACTTTGTTCTTGGTGCGTTAAGCTTTCACATAGCAGAGTTTCTAAATGGACTAAAATAGCTAAAAACAAGTCACGTTTGAGTTAACTCTCTCCTGACAGTGGTCAGAGTTCTACGCTTTATTTTTCAGTCCTGCTCAGCTGTGATGCGTCCTTATTTTAATGAATGACAATGAGCAATAAGACATCATAAGCGAAAAGCTGAGCTTTAATTTTGAATGGTGACACCCACAGATATCGTCACCAAATATAAATCAGAGGTAAGACTTTCGCATACATATCCATTGGCTAGAATTATGCATTATAGGCTTTACATTATAGAGAGAAATCACAGATAAACCAAGACTGCAGTTCAGTCAATTTTCCTAATAGAAAAACAGCTCTCATTTTTTCAGCATTCACTTTCTTATTCGACATGAAACGCACATTTACTAGTAGGAATGATGACATCCCGCCCTACTTGTATTTTTATTTTCATATAGCCATATATGCCTATTGCATATCTATATTACACTGTGAAACAGCCTGTTTCATTAGTTCATTGGATCGAATTGCTCTCTCACTACAATTGATCCGCTCCAAAGTTCGTTTCAATCAAGCAGAGACCACCTCATTCAGGCGGCCTCGGGTCGATTGTTTTTGCACAGATCCCAGCGCGATTGCTGTATTCACATATGCCTAACGAACCGCGCTAACTGGGAAAACATGCCAGGTTCCGGAACAAAAGTCTAGGTGTAAAGGCTAGAACCTAAAACTAAACTTAGAATTGTGAAATGTATTTGAATGCTGCATGGCACAATTTTATTAGAATGATCGAAACTAGAAATCACCAAACTATTTTATTGACTTTCAGCTGGAATAATGAACATGTTGTAAGGGCAAGTGAAAATCTGAACCAGTTGTGGACAAGTAATGAGAGTCATTTAATTGAAGAAAATTAAGATTTGCATAAATATTGTCAATTGAGTTGATGATGTGGCAATATTTCCCTGTAGTATTCAATTTTTTTGAGATTTTTTTTTTTTTTGTAATTGTTTAACATTTTAGAAATTCTTTTATGGTGACAGCACTGGTGTGTGTAGCAGTCTGGAGTACAGATGAACATCAGCGTGTGTCTGTCTGCAGGTGGTGTTCTGTATGGATCGGGTATTGGATTCTGCGTCTGCATGCCACCGGTTCAAGGTGCTGAAAGCAGAGTGTTTGGCTTTGCTGGGGAGATACCCAGAGGCCCAATCAGTTGCTAGGTAACAGCATTACAGTATTATGGCGATTGTTCAGTAATAAAAATGCAAATATATATATACTAGATAGGACCGTAACGCATACTAGATATTGCAAACGAAGTATTAAATATTGAAAAATCCCTTTAAAGAAATGTAAGGCCCTTAAAGTATTAAAGTCTTAAATGTTTTTTTTTTACAAAGTATTAATTTTAGTATTTGTACGCTAAAGTTTATCTGAATTTAATCTCTGAATATTGAGATACTGTGTAGTTTGAAATAAATCGCGCTGCTTTGTTTACTGCAGTAACCAGGGAAACACTGTTGTTCCTGCTGCTATAAAGGTGCCACCTGCTGGATTACATTTTTTTTGTTTTTGGATTTGTTTCTTGCAATTAATATTTAGTAAGAACTCTGCCAACATTTTAACTTGCAGTGTTACTGGTTGAAACCTGAAGTGGTGATGAGGTCTTAAAATGTATGCAAAGAGTCTTAAAAAAGGTCTTAACGGGTATTGAATTTCAATCTCTGGTTTCTTTACATACCCTGGTACATATACTTTCTCTGTGGATTAATGTTTTGAGTTTTTACTGCAAATGTCACATCCATGAAACTGGAAAAAAGTAATAAGCACTTTGAGTGTTAAGTTATTTCAGTGTCCAATGTAGTTTTTCTTTCTTCAATGCAAGAGTACCAGCAAATTTGTCCACTTCCGTATCTATGAAATCTCACTGTTGCTCTTTGTATTTTTAGTGACATTTTGCGGATGGACTCCACAAATGGCGATGCGCTGTATGTCCGGGGTTTATGTCTATACTATGAAGACTGCATCGATAAGGCTGTGCAGTTTTTCGTTCAGGCGCTGCGCATGGCACCTGACCACGAGAAGGCCCGTCTAGCATGCAGAGTGAGTGCAATAATAATCCACACTGTTCATTGATTATGTTTTAAGTTTGCAAATCAAATGTTTTCTGCAGTGAAACGTCTAATGCTTTCTCTGTTGTAGAATGCCAAAGCTCTTAAGGCGAAGAAAGAGGAAGGGAACAAAGCATTTAAAGAAGGTAGCTATGAGGAAGCATATGAACTCTACACTGAGGCTTTAACCATCGACCCAAACAACATCAAAACCAACGCCAAGTTATACTGCAACCGAGCCACTGTCGGTTCCAAGGTCAGCATTTACATGTTACAAATATAGTCAAGCCCGAAATTATTTATTATAATTAATTATGAGCCCTTATATACCTGACAAAAGTCCTGTCGATGCCAGTTTTGAGAGCAACAAGTAATAACTTGACTTCTAGTTGATCATTTGGAAAAGTGACAGAAGGTAGATTTTTCAGACGAATCATCTGCTGAACTGCATCCCAATCATCACAAATACAGCAGAAGACCTATTGGAATCCACATGGACCCAAGATTCTTACAGAAATCCATCAAGTTTGGTGAAGGAAAAATCATGGTTTGGGGTTACGTTCAGTATGGGGGTATGCGAGAGATCTGCAGAGTGGATGGCAACATCAACAGCCTGAGGTATCAAGAGATTTGTGCTGCCCATTACATTACAAACCACAGCAGAGGGGAAATTCTTCCGCGTGATAGCACTCTTTCTCATACTTCAGCCTCCACCTCAAAGTTCTAAAAGCAAAGAAGGTCAAACTGCTCCAGAATTTCCCAGCCCAGTCAACAAACATGAACTGTTGAGCATGTCTGGGTTAAGATGGAGGAGGCATCGAAGATGAATCCAAAGAATCTTGATGAACTCTGAAAGTCCTGCAAGAACGCTTTCTTTGCCATTCCAGATGACTTTATTAATTAATTAATAAATAAATTATTTGAGTCAGTGCAGCGATGTATGGATGCAGTCCTCCAAGCTCATGGGAGTCATACATAAGATTAATTTTTCTTCCACTGCACCATGACATTTTATTCTATACTGTACATTACTTTGGTTTGGTGACAAGACTTTTGTCTAGGCAAAGTCAGACCTTACTGTCCTAATTAAAGCTTAAAAATCAAGACATGATCATATTTTATTTTGGTAAAATAAGCGTAAACTAGAGGCCTTTTCCTTTCATATAAGCCACCTCTTATACCAGATGATTTACTAGAGGTCAAGTTATTATTAGGCAACAAGGCTTTTTTTACACACACACACACACACACACACACACACACTCACAACTAATAATTTTTTATATATTCAGTCAAAGAATCTTGCATTCCTTTTAGTCCATAAACCACCATTATGTTGGGTCTAATCTTGGCTTGACAAACTTCAATCGCAAATCAAATCACAATATCTGTCAACAAATCACAGTTAGAAATTTTCCCTAAATCATTTAACCCTGGAGGCTAATAATTTGTGTAAATGCCTTTTATTTTTAATTTTTTGAATGTTTTTTTTGCAGCCTCACCAAATCAGTTCCTGATTGTAGACTTTATAGTATAGCAAGATGACGAATTTTTCCTGCAAACAATAAGATATGGCCCTTTTCTAATATCTAGATGTTTTTGTTTGAGCCCCACAAGGCCGAACACTAGACCCTTTTCCTGTTCTGAAACTGGGTCAAGTGTGTCCGTCTCAATTTTGTCATTGTTTTTCCACTAGCACATAATGTTTCTCTGTCTCTCCTTTGTGTCTTCAGTTAAATAAACTGGAGCAGGCCATTGAGGACTGCACAAAGGCCATTAAACTGGACGAGACCTATATTAAAGCTTATTTGAGAAGAGCCCAGTGGTACGTTTATTGCTTTTACACTTAATTTAAAGCTACTTGAGAATTTTTTGTAATGTTAACCTGTGCATTTTGTAATGTAGCTACATGGACACAGAGCAGTATGAAGAAGCAGTCAGAGATTACGAGAAGGTTTATCAAACAGAAAAGACTAAAGGTGAATGTCTTTCTTTGGGTTATGGGTTAGATTTGGGTTAAGGATTGTTTTGCATTTGGAATTTGTTGAGACCTGTAAATCTGTTTTATCTTTGACTTTGTCAGATTTCTCCTCAATTTTAATGGTTCAGTTTGGACATATGAATTCAAAAATATCATCTAATTCAAGTAATATCGTAAAACTTATGCAATTTAAAAATGTAAATGCATTTGTGATTTTATAGTTAATTTCTACACTGCTAAAAATAATTTGGGTATTAATAGTAATAGTAAAGCTGAAGGAGATTGAATAACTGGGTTGTTGTTAATGTTAATAGTAATAATGTGTTTTTGTCTTCGATTTTACTACTACTACTACTACTACTATTTTAAGTACATTTTACTTTCATCTGCCACAATATCAAATTTACCCAAACATTTATATTGACAACTCGTCATCTTTGTTTCTGCGAGCACATGAAATGTTCATTGTTTGGCTTTGATACATCTATAATGGCGTACAGCAAGCCAACATGTTACATGTTAACCCAGGATTACCTGTTAATAAGTAGGCCCACACGGAATCTGCATGCATCTAAGTTTTAGCCCATCGTTGAGGCTATTTACTTATTTATATTTATTCAGTTTTTTAAATGGTTTCAGTAACATTTGACTAATATGAAAATTATATAACATTTTGTAAATAAAAAAAATTATATAAACATTTTATTTACAATAAAGTTTGTAAAGTAATGTTCACTGTCTTTTAGTAGAGATATTATACAGGGTGATTAAAAAAAAAAACTATTTAATTTAAGCATGTTGGAACCTTGGGTAATTAACCATTGTGAAGAGTACTTAAATAATTTTTCTGTAGAAAAAACTATCATAGATGTTCAATATGAACACTCGAGTGACATCAACCCGGAAGATATGTTTTTGTTTTTTAATCAGTGTATGAGAGACTTGCTTTGTTTACCCAATATGTGAATCTAATTGTATTTGCATTATAAACATTAAATACAAGTTAAAAAGGTATTATTTTTTATTTTTATAATATTTTATTTTTTATAATTTTTACATTAAGTTTTAGTTACGATTCTTCTAAAATCATGCCGCTTAAATCCGCATAAAAACGTTTTACAAAATTCTGCACAGAAACAGCAAAAAATGTCCGCAGATTCTGTCTGGCCCTACTAATAAGTTATGAGTAAGATGAACTGTAAAGCAAGTTAATTCAGAAGTTAATTTACCATGTTTAAAATGCATCTAGGATTAGTCATGTAGATTATAAAAATATCCAAAACTCAGATTTTTTTTATTGTTATTTGTGCCAAATCTTATTTGTTCTGTGTTGTGTTTTTAGAACACAAGAATCTGTTGAAGAACGCTCAGTTAGAGCTGAAGAAAAGCAAGAGGAAAGATTATTACAAGGTTCTCGGGGTGGATAAAAATGCCACTGAAGACGAAATCAAGAAGGCGTACCGCAAACGAGCCCTGATGCACCACCCAGGTACTTATTTTCATTAAATGAATGGAGCACATGAAACACAAACAGAATTATTTTTATTTTTTTTGTACAAATCGCTTAAAAATTAAAAAAAAATATATTCATAAAGGGTTTGTATTTTACAAATATTCGATTTCTGAAAACTAATAGTGTGTAAATGTAGCCGCCTTTCCACTGCACGTGACAAACAGTAGAGCGGAAGTCCTTAATGTAATAAGCAAACATGAAGAGATGAGAATGAAAAGGCATGTAAAGGGGAACTGCATGGCTTTTGAATTAACAGCGCACTGTATATTTCTGCTATTTTTATCATTACTAATCAAACAACAAAAGACCAGGACAAAATCTCTCACTGCTCTTAAATGAAGGATTTTTGTAGCTTTAATAACAAACAAACCAAGTTTTATTTATTTATTTTTTTCCTTCCAGTGAAGATGCTTTAAGCGCAGTTTGTTTTGCATGTTTTTTCTATTGTTTTTTTTTACTTGCCATAATTGTGAGAACATTTGTTGATTAGTTTTTTACTCCTGTTTTGCTTCAGTATTAACATTCGTGAACTTTAACGATCTTTGAAAGTGTAATAGCAACCTTATTTACTAGGCGGAAAAACGTTATATTTGCTTCATATGCGTATTCAGAATATTGGGATCTGATTTTTTGCATTAAAGTATTTGAACTACTGAGGCAAGAAATTATCCAGATATGATCCTAATAACACAATGACGGCACACAGCACTCTACCATGCATAACGTTTGTCATCATCTTGTGACAAACAGCCACATGCTATTAGGGGAAAAAAAAAAAAAAAAAGAGTCTGCTGAATGTCCTCCATTGTTGTTTATAGGCCTGTTCACATGTTGTGTGTAAACTTCAGGAAATTAAATAAAATGTAAATGCTTCCTCTCTATTCTATTACAAACATGCAGGGTTTTAAAAATTTTTTTAAACTTGTAAAAGTCATTCTTGAGCTGCAGCTGATCGCAGAGAGTTGGAACAGATCTTTTAATCCAAGTTTTTTGCAAATCCTGTTCACTTCCTGCTCATTTCCATTAAAAGTTGAGATATGTATACGACTTTTATGGTTTTCTCTTGGCTAGAATGGATTTGATTTGAACTTAGTAGGCATGGTATACGCTACAAAGTAAGGGTCATGTGTTCTTCACAGACCGACACAGCGGTGCGAGCGCTGAGGTGCAGAAAGAGGAAGAGAAGAAGTTTAAAGAGGTCGGCGAGGCCTTCACTGTGCTCTCCGACCCCAAAAAGAAGACACGATATGACAGCGGCCACGACCTGGAGGACGATGACATGAACATGGGTTTGTCCCTTTCACACTTCCATTCTCACACACTTTCTCTTTCTGTCAGCACTATTTCAATATGGAAGATGATTTTCACAAAAATTAAACTTCATCCATCATTTACTCACCCTCGAGTTGTTCCTATTTTTTTTTTTTTGTTCTGCTAAAAAACAAACTATATACAAGATATTTGGAAGAAAGTCAGTAACAACAGATCTTCTCGCCATTTACTCCCATACTGTTTATTTTCTATCTATCGCAGTAAACGTGTTGCTAGCTCTGTTTGGTTACTGACATTTTTCAAAATATCATTTGTCCAAAATCAAACAAAAAGTGCTCAGGGGTAGCTTAAATTATGTGTCTGTGCTACAACAAAAATCAGTCCAAGGCACTAGAAAAATGTGGAAAATTTAAAAGCCATGTAAATAAAGGCTTTATCCCTAAACCTACATGTTACGGCAAGGAACTGCTTTCATCGGGGCATGATCAGGGGCATCTAGAGCCTCTTTTGAGTGCTATGGTCACATGACTCATTTTAAATATCTCAACAACACTCAAATAATATAACAAGAGGTCAACTATCATCATTACTTCAGCATTGATAGAGGGGGAAATAAATATGCCTATATACATGCACAGATATACACATGCTTATAATTTCACTTTTACCTGTCATTTTAATCAAAGACTTTACTTTAAGTTTCACCTTTTCAACATTACGTCTTTTATTTATAACATCTATAGCAACACTAATATTAACTTTAAATATTATAAGTCTAATGTTTTTAAATAGACAACATATGACGCTCCGTTTACTTGACAAATTTAATGATTTGCATATTCATGTTGTTGACGCCAAATTCTGACCCTACCATACGAATGTCACAGCAGAAATCGAGACTCATCAGACCAGGCAACCTTTTTCCAATCTTCTATTGTCCAATTTTGGTGAGCCTGTGCGAATTGTAGCCTCAGTTTCCTGTTCTTAGCTGACAGGAGTGGCACTCGGTGTGGTCTTCTGTCCCTTCAGAGATGCTCTTCTGCATACCTCTGTTGTAACAAGTGGTTATTTGAGTGTCTGTTGTCTTTCTATCAGCTCGAACTAGTCTGGCCATTCTCCTCTGGCATCAACAAGGCATTTACGCCCACAGAACTGCCGCTTTTTGCACCTTTTTCTGTATACCCTAGAGATGGTTGTTCGTGAAAATCCCAGTAGATTAGCAGTTTCTGAAATACTCAGATCGGACACATTTCTTCACCATTCTGATGCTCTGTTTAAACTGCTGCAGATTGAGTTGCTGCATTGTGATTGGCTGATTAGAAATTTGCATTATCGAGCAATTGGACAGGTGGCCTAACAAAGTGGCCAGTAAGTGTACTCCAGTAGTAGACTATTTCAGACGATTAAAGACAGCAAAACAGAACAATCTTCTAGCGGTTTACCAAATAAAGTGACAGGTGAATGTATGCAGTCATTGTTTTGTTTTTGCTATTTTCCGTATAGACTTTATCAACTAGCTTGTCATCAGAAATGTTATTTGTTTTTGGGCCCTCATTACAGTCACCTGCAGAGACAAAATAATCAGTTCCTTGTCTATTAGCATTGGAATGATGTTTTTATTGAAAGCGAATGTCATTTATGTTCTTTTAAAAGCCTAGATCTTATTGAAAGCGTCATGCCATGGCTGTGCTGAATAATCCAAGTGTCAGCTCTTGAGTAAACAGAACTTTAAAAGACTAATGCTGAGTGCAGACAACAGAGGGAATTAAATTAAGCAGTTTCATTTCCAGCATTGACTCAATCAAGGCTGTTTTTTTGAATTCACTTAAAGTTGCTCTTCAGGGCATGACTTGACTGTTTTCTTGACTCCGTTGGTTTGTTTCTGTGTCTAAGCACCAGGCTTTGGGACAATTTACACAAAAGGTTTACTGTTTTTTTGCTGAAAAGGTTAAGTGTTTTGCTTTAGAATATGTATCGGACATTTAAATGATGGGGTAATATGGGTTAAATTATGAGGGGGAGGGGGGGGTCTCTGATAAATGAAATAATTAATTAATTAAATAAATTACAAAATTCAATAAAGTGTTTACATTGTTACTTTTTTATGGTGAAATGCTCAAGTATTGGAAACCAAATGTGTAAAACCAATTACTCTCAATCTATAGTGTCAAACACAGGAAATGTATTTTAAGCTTGTTAAATGATCACGATGAATTGTTTTATGTCTCTATTTTCTTCTCTTTCAGACTTTGATGCCAACAACATCTTCAAAGCATTCTTTGGCGGCCCTGGTGGGTTTAGTTTTGAAGGTAGTATTTCATGTACTTTGTCTTCATCGTCCATAATTCACTGGTTTAGACTGTAAACCACTGAACGCTAACAAGCAAAGGTTTGGGATCAGTATGCTTTCAAAATATTTCAGACATACAAAAAATAAGAATATTAGAAATCATTTACTCTTGTCTTCAGTATTGCAGTATACTTCAGAAATCAGTCTCATACACTGATTTTCTGTCTGATATCAGTGTTGTTTATTTTTGTGTGAAAATATTTTTTTAATGAATGAAAGATTACTTAAAGAAGAGTGTTTACTTTAAACTATTTTTGTCAGTATAAGTATCTTCACTGTTATTTAATACAACTAATTATTTTTATTGGAAAAACAATCTGAACCCAAACTTTTATTTGGACGGAAATATGTTTGAAGACTCTACAAAGGGTGTGTGATATTGATCATCCACGAAAGCACTGTTATGGGATGTTTGTGCTCATATTATCAAGTTTATTACTCACTTTAGCAAAAATAAAGTGTCTGTTGAGAGCACAAAAGCTTTACTGTACGAATTCAGTCAGAATGACCATAGCTTTCGAGTTTTGAACACAAAAATATCCCTGTGGATATGGAATTATCAGTTTATTTTTTTGTTGTTGTGTTTTTATTTTTTATTATTATTATTATTTTTTTTTTTTTTGGCATCTTGATTTGACATGACAGTAAGTTGGGAGGGGGACAGGATTGGGAAAAGGTTTTATTATTAAAGAATTAATTTAGACACAATATTGTTTATTTTGTTTCGCTAATTAAAATTTCCTGAAAAAATGTATCCACTTTGAATGAAGACTGAGCCTTTGGTTGATTTAATCATAAAGATAGTGCCTTTGCATTTTGAAAAAAGGTGAAATCACGTTTTCCTAAGTGCCAAATCAAATGCGTAATTACTTCATGATCTTTATCATTAAGTGACTAGCTCTGTGCAAATTCAGACACAGCCAGTCACTTGCATAAATGAACCAGTCTTTTGAATGAATCATGTGAATGACTCAATGAATCTGTTAATCCACACAGTGGCAAAAGTTGAACTATTTTGAAAATTGACCGTGCCATACGTGCATAAACTGCTGATGGTGGCCATAGCATAGACAAACGGCAAAGGATCACGAGTTCACAAAAACATTTATATCAGTAAAGGAAGAAGCATGCCTCGTGTTTTCAACATGGTTTTGAATGCAATATGTGAATAGCCCATAAAGATTTAACCTGAGAGATGCAGTACCAGGACTGGTCTATAATAGATACAGGATTACAAGCTGCCTGGAGCCATTACAAGTTAAATGAATTAAAACCAAATTTTGCAAACTACATAAGATGAGGCAACAATTTAATTACACTTACATGTTATGATTCGGAGGAAGAAGAAACTAGTTCATATGAACTGTAACAGTTACTGACAAAGTCTGACAAAATCCCACACATAATAGTCTCTGCTGCTCCTTTAATAGCAAACGGCAGACCAGTTCTGCGTTGCAGCATAAGCTATTGTATCAAAAATCAGAAAAATGACAGGAACAAGCACATCACACGGTTGGCTATACTGTGGTATTGTTGTGAAAATTAACTTAAACCCTTTATTTAAGCCAAATCTCCATCGTTTAGTGATCGTCATCTTCGCTTCATGATCAGTCCTGTGATCCCCCGCATTCACGTTTTACCGGAACCGGCACTTCATGTTTGGTGATGCCGTATCAACGTCAACGTGTTCAAACAAAAGATCCGAACCCAACACGATTAATTTGTTCGACCCTGAGTCGACTATTTTGCAACAGAATCAATAGTTTTAAACATGGAGTGCTTTCAGATTTAAACATCAGCGGGATGTTTTCATGCACCTAATGTTGTGTTACACAATGCATGGAAGGGCATTCTCAAAAACCTATAATAGACTGCAGCTTTGCACAAGACATTTGGCTAGAGGAGAACTGAGCCAGGTTTCTCTCAAGGTTTTTTAAATTCACTTTTGACAATTGGAGAAGATTTTTTATTTTATTTTTTTGTCACCACTGGCTTGCATGGTTCGGGACTCGTAGAGCTGCGCATTGATGAATCTGCTCCTTAGTTTTTGGACTCTCAGTATTGAATATTAAACCACATTTAACCGAGCTAAACTGAACTTGAACTCTGAAAACTGAACTGACACGGTTTTAATTTACTTTAATATTCTATGTGAAGCTGCTTTGACACAATCTACATTCTAAAATCGCTATAGAAATAAAGGCGAATTGAATTGAATAGGGGCTCATAAATTTTCTTACAGTCATTCTCTCAACAATTATATACTTTTTTATTTTTGTTGTTTTTTATATTATAATTAGTTAGTGACTTTAGTTATTGATTGTTCATTTTTCAGTAAAAATGGTCATTATCAAAATCTTAAACAAAAAAAAACCCTGCTTTCATTGGTCAATATAGCACACCCCAGCTGCTTTTAGTAGTTTTGTGTGATGTTCACACATTCAATTCTTCACAGTCACTTTTTTCCTCATTCTCTTCCCTTTTTTTTGTCCTGCAGCATCTGGACCTGGAAACTTCTTCTTCCAGTTCGGTTAGCTTGGGCATTGTCCAGCACGTATGCAGTAGTTCCACAACCTCTGAATTCCCCCGAAACCGAACTGCTCTCCTCCATCCCTGCTCTCCTGATGAACGACACTCTGGTGAATCAGGCCTTCGGGCGCCACAGTTGGACCTGCATCTGTGCCATTGGCTTGTTTTTTTCCTGCTCGCGCACAAAAGACAACAACGGCAGGGGCAGACCATACTCTACCACCTCACACTACTCTCTCTCTTTCTCTCTCACTCCGATCAGTGTGTCCTCTTAATCCAGCTTTTCTTTTATCATTTGGTTTTCTTAATCCACAATATCGAATGTACCCAAGTGCATCATTTCCACATTTATTATTTTGGAAAAAAAAAATCTTCAGTTTAACAGCTGATGTTTGGGGGGGAACTTAAGAAGGTGCTACTTGCAAATCTCCTGTTTCTCCTTGACCGATCGCAAAATGCTCCATATCATCCAAACTAAGACAGATTTTAATGAAAAAGCAAGGTGTATCACAGGAGTTTCATTACTACTAGTGACGTATAGATTGTCTAAACCTGTACAAAGCCAGAATCCACACAGATTATATACATGCAACATTGCAAGCCATTTTAAAGACCTCAGCAAACATGAATGCAGCGCCTCATGCCAAATCTCATCACATATATATATATATATATATATATATATATATATATATATATATATATATATATATATATATATATATATATATATATAAAAACACGCAAGTCGATTCCTGGATTGTTCGACTACTGCATACAGAGGTTGAGAGAAAGCGAGTGCAAGTTTATCTTTTAGCACCTGTTGGCCACGTTCCCTCTCTGTAATGTTCATTTTTTTCGTCATATGTTGCCATTCAAGCCCTTGCTGCATTGTACATTTTACTGGAATGTAAAGTGTTTTTTTGTTTGTTTTGTGTTGATAGTTTATGACTGTTTAATTTTTTTTTTTAACTCTGAAAGACACTCACATTTTTGATATGTATATTTATTGTAAATTCGCTGGACGTGAGCTTCGGACGGATGGATGGATGATCTTTGGATACACTAGGATCTGTATAGGTTAAACTGTATAGGGGAGAGAGTATTTTTAGCCAACACTCATAATAATAATAACAACTTCTGATTTAGAGAGGAAAAATGGAGATTATTGATCTGGTTATTTGTGGATTTGATTCCATTTACTCTGCTGTGTGCGTGCGCGCGTCTGTTTGTCTGTGTGTGGATGTAAGTAAACTGCAGGCATGATCAGTGAGCCATGTTTGGTGATCTCTACTGTTTTAACTAAGTGTTCCTCCACGTTGGATGCTGCAGATTTGTCGCGCTCCACCATTCTCTTGCTGTATTTGACCTGGCCGTGTAGTTCGTTCAGAAAACGTAAATTCGTCTGGAATATGTTCACGTTGCTCATCTTGAAAGATCTTCAGTGTATTCAAAAGATAATGTCCATGCTGACTTGGCTCACGCCGCTGGAACAGTCTCGACTATGGACCGTTTTTAAAGAAAAAAAGCCATGTAAATAAAGTAAGCCTCTTTCTGTTTTCCCCTTCACCACATGCTTAACTTTTATGTCTCCAATACATTTTTAAAAAGATATATAAATATTTTTTGTCTTCAATTTTGCTAGCTATAGCATTGTTATTTGTACACATTTTAGCAAATAAATGTGGTTTATTAAGTATTGAATGTAGTTTTAAATTTAATGTATTCCTGTGGTTCAATGCTGAATTTTTATTACTTCTAAAATCATTATATGATTATTTGCATTTCTATTATGATCAGATATTAGTACAAAATCACTAACAACTCAAATCACACGTAAAAAATATGTAATTGTTAAAAGAGAAAGACTTACTGTATGGGAGTTGGATTATCACAGAAAAAAATATATATAAATTTAAAATGGTAATTACATAATGTATTTTTAACAATATCTATTATATAAATGCATTTATTTTTGTGCAAATACTTGTTTTAAGCGTCATGAATTAACATAACATGACACTAAAACTGCCAGCTGTCTTAATTGATTCATTCATCATTCAAATGATTCATTCAAAAAGGCTGGTTCATTAAATAGTGACTGGCTGTGTGCTGGAAAATGTTCGTCTCGACACTGAAGACTTTGTATCATGCTTTTAAATCACAGGAATTGATTAAACTTGAGCTGCATTAAATAAAAATACTTAATACAATTGAATTTTGCTGTATGTTTGAATAAATGCAGCCTTTGTGAGCAGAATAACCACATTATAACTAATTCTAAGATATTACAGATTCTAAATTTTTTTTTTGGTCATGTATATTTTTAAACATGCAAATGTCTAAGACAAAGTGTGTGTAAAGAAACATTTACAGAATGAAATGTCAAACATTTTGAAGATATTTTAAACAAAAAACATCCTTTTTAGAGTGTATCATTACACTAAAACCCAACAGTCAACTTTATCAAGTGAAATGAGTTTAAAATTGATTTGAGTAAAGCACATAAGCACTGTAAAACCCGGTAGTTAACTCCAAATGTACTGAAAGTTAATTCTACTCATTTGAAAACAGTTTTAAACTCAATGTTTAAGGTAACGAGTTTAATAAATACCTCATTAATTCAACTTAAATGGAGTAAGTCCACAGTATAGATAATTTTTAACTCAAATTGTTTGTTGCAATTGGTTTCCTCACGGTTTTGAGTTGCCTTCTAAATGGTTTTTACAGTAATAATGTGCTTCAGTGCTTCGTTTACTCAAATGGATTAAGTTCACAGTACTCATTAGGGTTAGTTTTTGGATTGAGATGGTTTGTTATAATCCACAAATGGTTCAAGTAACCTTACATTTTTGGATTTTACAGTGTAGTATGATTGTATACAGTATGTATAGTGTAAAACAAAAGAGTAAGGTGTATAAATGGTCTAAAAGAGTATAAAAAAGTATAAATGAAACGTTTTCTGAGGTAAATTTGCACATTTAGGGTGAAATGGCGTGCTGTGTGTTGGCATGTCAATCAAAGTTCCTCTCACAGTTCATTGGTCCCACTGTGTTTTGTTAGTCACGTTGCTAGGATACACCAGACAGGACTGCAACCTCACGTATAGATGTGTACTGAAACGTTTTGACATAATTTTGCCTAAAATACGATTAAAATGTTCGATAACGAGGAAGGACAAGGCCCGAAAAGCACCTTCACCACCTACATGGCTGAAGGAGACCAGCTGTTCCAGAGAGGAGAGTATGTCAAAGCCGTCGAGAGCTTTACTACGGTAAGCCAACTCATGCAGGCTTTATGTGAAACGCACATCTGAAAATATGGTGTGTCTAAATTTGTTTTATTTTACAATAAATACGTGCTGTCTGTTATCCACCAGGCTTTAACTTTGCAACCGGATGATAAGAACTGTTTAGTTTCCAGATCCAGGTGTTATGTTAAACTCGGAGACGCAGAAAACGCGCTGAAAGACGCCGAGAGCTCACTTAAAGACAACAAAAACTACTTCAAGGTGTGTTTATTTGCAGTACTGGCTTATTTTCCTCTCGTTTTTGCTCTGAAATGCATTTTTCAGTAAAGTTACCGTTGATATGTATCTGTGTAGTAAGGCATTTGCCCTGAAGAGGGCGTACTTGTATAATCTGATTCGATCGTTCTCTGGATATCTGATAAGTAATTTGAATTCCATGTATAGCCCACTTTTTAATATAAACAACAGCAACAGCGATTATATTTTATAAATAAAATTATAAAAAGACATTATACAAGAAATAAAATCCAAGTTTACAATTTACATTTTTGATATGAGCTATACAAGCAGAAAGTTACTTTAGAAAGTAATGCATTACAATATTGAGTTACTCCCCAAAAAGTAACTAGTTGTGTTACTTAGTAACTTTATATGGTAATAATGCATTACGTTACTTTTGAGTAAAATTTGCCCTACTTTTTATTACCTGGCTGAGGCTTCAGAACTTGTTTTTTTTCTGTTTATTTCTTTCTTTTTTAAATAGAGGAGTTCTGCAATTAAAACACATGGTATAACCTAGACCTACATTTACCTTTAAAAACCACATCCAAAAAATATACAAGCAGTGATTAACATAAGAGTACACCCCTCACAAATCTATCTTTTAAATTCATATTTTAATAGGAAGCTATACAATATTATATTTAAATATACAATAGATTATTCAGTACTGAAGCCAAATCTGAAGCTTATCTATCAAAATAACTTACTACAACTGTCCAAAAACCAGTACACCCAAATTTATCTGTAATAAAAAAATTAAGTTTGTTGTTTTGTAGGTTGTAATTTTTTTTTTACAGCTTGAATTGAATTGAATTATCTTTCTATTTCTAAAGATGATCGGTAACTAAAATATTATTTCAGTAAATATATCTGTTTAAACTTTTAATTCCTCAAAGGTGCCCTGATTTCTCAAACTGCAATTTAAAGGCTTAACTAGGTACAATTATGTAATTTAGGATAATTATGAATAATAGGATAACACTGGTTTGTTCTGTAGCCAATTGAAAGAAGGATATTTTAAGGGGGTTAATAATATTAAAAGTTAAGTAACTATCAGACACAAATATTTAAAACACTAAATGATGCATTTAATTTAGAAATAAAACCTAGTGTTTTATTTCTAAATTATTTTTGGTGTACCAGAATACGTTGACAAACAGGGAAAAAATGTTGGCAACTTATGATGAAATGGCAACCTATGATTTTGGCAACCCACATAAGTAAGACTCTCTCGTCTTTAACTGATCTGTGCAAACAGGTTTAAATGTGATAACCAATATTGTTTGGTGTCATATTTATGCAGAAGACCACTATAAATATGTCAGATTGTTGATTTGTTTATTCCATTTTGCTCTACTATACACACTCACTGGCCACTTATTGGGTACATCTGTCCTGGTCTGAGTATTTGAGAAACTACTGATCTACTGGGATTTTCACACCATCTCTAGGGTTTTCAAAGAATGGTCAGAAAAAGAGAAAATATCCAGTGAGCGGCAGTTCTGTGGGCGCAAATGCCTTGTTGATGCCAGAGGTCAGAGGAGAATGGCCAGACTGGTTCCAGCTGATAGAATGGCAACAGTAACTCAAATTACCACTTGTTACAGCCGAGGTATTGTGGTAAATATTGACTTCTCATTAATTACAAATTATCAGACCGGAGGTTTTGAATATCAGAAAATAGACTTTATTCTCCATAATAAAGCCGAGAAAGAGCAGAGCAGACCCCAGAGCATTCTGAAGTCTCTCCTGCACCTTCTAAAGTTTCAGTGTGTTTGTTACAATTTTTATACAGGATTATTTGACACACCCCTAAGTCTCTTTTTAACTCTTGACCATTTTTGAATAGGTTTCTAGTCTAAGGGGTCCTGCTATTCTTGGCTCTCAGCCCACTAGCTCATGTCAGCAGAGATGTTACAGGTCTATGTCAGCAAAGTATAGATGCAACTTATGCAAAGGAACTAAGTGTTTACATACATTGTTATGATAGGATAATAACTTGATAATATATTACTCATTCTAACTTCTGACACATATAGCTTTATAGAAGTATTTAACATATATGATCAGTGCTTTACATATTCAGTTATTCTACACAATCAGTCACTCAGCCTTCTCCTAGTGTTGCTCCTGTGCAGGCATACTCATCTTACACAGACATATCACTGTATTTTTAACACAGGCTGGCATGTTTGCTGCAAACACTACATACATTTTGAGAAGAGAAAATTAACTGCTTTACACTTAGAAAATACTTCACACTGAGAGAATAGAAATCTTCTTTAATATGCAGAAGAGCATCTCTAAACGAACAACACGTCCAACCTTGAGGCGGATAGGCTACAGCAGCAGAAGACCACTCCCGAGTGCCAATCCTGTCAGCTAAGAACAGGAAACTGAGGCTACAGTTCACTCAGGCTCCCTAAATTTGGACAATAGAAGATTGGAAAAACGTAGCCTGGTCTGATGAGTCTCGATTTCTGCTGCGACATTTGGATGGTAGGGTCAGAATTTGGCGTCAACGACATGACAGCATAGATCCATCCTGCCTTGTATCAAAGGTTCAGGCGTGTGGTTGTGTAATGGTGTGGGGATATTGTCTTGGCACACTTTGGGCCCATTAGTACCAATTGAGCATCATGTCAACGTCAGCCTACATGAGTATTGTAGTTGACCATGTCCATCCTTTAATGACCAAAGTGTACCCATCTTCAACTGGTTTCATGCAGCATAATAAAATGCCAATGACATGGCATTTTTTAACATGACAATAAGTTTACTGCAATCAAGTGGCCTCCACAGTCACCAGATCTCAATCCAACAGAGCACCTTTGGGATGCGGTGGAACGGGAGATTCGCATCATGGATGTGTAGCCAACAAAGCTGCAGCAACTGCGTGATGTTATCATGTCAATATGGAGCAAAATCTCTGAGGAATATTTCCAGTGCCTTGTTAAATCTGTGCCACGAAGAATTAAGGCAGTTTTGAAGGCTAAAAGGGGGTCCAACCCAGTACCAATAAGGTATACCTAATAAATTTTTTTTATTTCTGTTGTAATTTTATTTTAATTTAACATGTTTGTTAATTTATTTCAGCAGCAAGGAGTCATTTAGGGAAAAAAAAACAATTTTGGTTGTACAAAAGGTTTTGTATAAGCTTGGGGGAAAATAATAATATTAACCTTAAAATTGTTTTAGAAATGTAAAAACTGCTTTAATTCACGATAAACTAAAAGAAATCAGAATTTCTCCACACACACACACACACACACACACACACAAAAAAATCCCTGCTCTGTTAATTCACTGGAAAAATATTTGAAAAAGACTGTAAATAAACTTAACTGTATATAAACACTAACCAGCATATTCTCATGTGTTATATTTTATTTCATTTTTGTGGAAGTTTAAATCTCTGCAGTTTTTACAACCTATTCAATTCACCTTTATTTGTATAGCGCTTTTACAATGTAGAATGCGTCAAAGCAGCTTAACATAAAAGATCATAGTAAATTGGAACAGTGTAGTTCAGTTTTTAGTGTTTAAGTTCACTTCAGTTTAGCTCAGTTCAGTGTGGTTTAATAATCACTACTGAGAGTCCAAACACTGAAGAGCAAAACCAGAGGGTTTGCAATGTTGTGGCATCTTGGAAAACATGTATATTTTTATATTGTGTCTGTGTGTGCTTGTGCGTGTGCGTGTATGTGTGTGTCATGACACATAACTGTTCCAAGATGGCAAACACAAAAACATGTCTGGAGCAGTTGAGTGTAGCATCTATGCATACATAACTATGATCAAACCGAGATACTCTGCTAAGTAAGCATCATGTGATAGCGATAACACCTGGCTTGTTCTCAGCAGGCATGTGTTATCATGCAGGAATTATGAAAGAAATTCAAGTATCAGAAACCTGTTTTGTGCCTTTGGGGGTTCTCCATAGGATTCTGTCCCCGCTGTTGATGCAAACTGACTGAAATATCTTCATAATGTATTGCAGGGTCTCTATCAGAAGGCTGAAGCCTTGTACACTATGGGCGATTTTGAGTTTGCATTGGTCTACTATCACAGAGGCCATAAGCTGCGACCAGAGCTACAGGAGTTCCGGCTGGGAATTCAGAAAGCTCAAGAGGCCATAGACAATTCAGTCGGCAGTAAGTCCTTTAAGGGTTAGTTCACCCATGAAAAAAAACTCTGTTCATGATTATTCACTCTCATGCTGTTCCAAACCTCTCAAATCTTTGGTCTTCTTCAGGATCACAAATATTTTAGATGAAATCCTGGAGCTCTCTCATTCTCCATATATACATATATATTAGGGTTGGGGCGATAGACGATGCCATCGTTCATCGCCGATGGCCAATAGACAACAAGATGACAACACATTGTCATGCGCTCCTCTGAGCTCCAGAGAGCATTGCACGTCGAACAGATAACCAAGTATGTACAGCTGGATCGCGTCTCAATATCTCACTTGTTAAACGTGATATTCAGACATACCAAGTCTCCCGAAAGTTCCGGGAGTCTCTATGCATTTACGTGATTATTAATGCCTGCAAGGCAAGGCAGTGGCGCAGTAGGTAGTGCTGTCGACTCACAACAAGAAGGTCACTGGGTCGCTGGTTCGAACCTTGGCTCAGTTGGCATTTCTGTGTGGAGTTTGCATGTTCTCCCTGCCTTCGCGTGACTTTCCTCAGGGTGCTCTGGTTTAATAAAGGGATTAATAAAGGGACTAAGCCGACAAGAAAATGAATGAATAATGCCTGTAAACGAGCGAAAATCGTACGTCTCCCTCCCAGTCCTCTAATAAGTCGCGCACCCTTCTCACCCCCGGATCCTCCCTCGCTCTTCAGACACGTCGCGTGCACTCTGTCAACCCTACCACCCCCACCCCCACCATCCCAGCTTTATTCAACAGTTTCTTCTTCTCAGTGTCAATATAGTGTGCACATTCACAAGAGTGAATTTCATGCAAAATGTCTTAATTTTTGTTCTGAAGATGAACAAAAGACTCAGGGGATTGGAACGAACATGAGGGTTAGTAATTATTAAAGGAATTTTGAACTAACCCTTTAAACACAACCCGATAAGAAAGATGGAACTCATATTTTAGTTATATTTAAAGAGACATCTCAAAACCCACAGCAATATGTCTCCCCAAAGGTCCTTCCTCTGTGAAGCTGGTTAATAAAGGTGACCTGTCTTTCTTCCATAACGGGGTGAGGTTTTATTATTATCCCTTCTTACTCTCTAACATGCTCTTTTATGTTTTTTGGCTTGTTTCTAGTCCATACATCAAAAAATTCTTAAATCAAGAAGCATATTGTCATGTTTTAAGAAATAATATGCCAAGGTTAAGTGTGTTTTTCCATAAAACAAGCAAAAAATCTGCCAAAGAGAACAGCAAAATAATATTATGCCAAATCAAAAAACAAGATTGTTTTGTTTATCCCATTGGCAGATTATTTTGCTTGTTTTAAGGAAAACTCACTTAATTTTGTCATATAATCTCTTACAACAAACACAATATTTTTGCTTGTCCAGGAAAAGCTTCTTGATTTATAATTTTTAGATATTTGGGAGCCTTTTTTGCAATGTATGAATACACATGTTTTTGTTCTATATATCATCCTGAAGGTTCATCCCCAGAATTTAAATCCTTCTAATAAGAAAGAATCCAAAAAGCACAGCAAGAAGACAGACAAAGGTGAAAAAACAGCCAAGCAGCTTCTAGGAGAGCTGTACAGTGATAGAGAGTACTTGAAGAAACTTCTACAGGATGAAGGTGTTTGTTTTTGTTTGTTTAATTTTATAGAGGTTGTTAAATGTTAGTTTGTATCTGCAGCAATGCAAATTCTACATAAGGTACAATCTGTTCTCATGCAGATCTTGTCAAATGTAAGATACGAAGTGGAGAGCGCGTGCAGGATCTGATCGTAGGCTCTATCTCATATCTGGACACGCGGATGGCATTCTGGCAGCAGCAGAAACCCATTTATGCTCGTCAGAGAGACAGAAAGCTAATGCAGCAGCAGTGGAGCAAGGTTCTGCACAAGCCTCCCTCAGATCCCACACGATACGTGCTCAGCAGTCTGGAGGAGATCGACACAGGTGAACATCTGCAGAGGCTTTATGTTGCTAACAAGAAATGTAGCATTATACAAAAGCATTTACAGCACCATTTACAAAACTGTGACTTCTTCATGTTTTTTAATATATACAGTTAAAGTCAAACTGATTAGCCCTCTTGAATTATTAGCCCCCTGTATATATTTGTCTCCAGATTCTGTTAAGATTTTTTCAACAGATTTCTAAACATAACACTTTTAACAACTCATTTCTAATAACTGATTTATTTTATGTTTGTCATGATGACAGTAAATAATATTTGACTAGACATTTTTCAAGATACTAGTGCTCAGCTTAAAGTGACATTTAAAGGTTTGATTAGGTTAATGAGGCAGTTTAGGGTAATTTGGCAAGCCATTGTATAACAGTGGTTTGTTCTGCAGACAATCGAGAAAAAAAATATTGCTAAAGGGAGCTAATAATTTTGACCTTAAAATAGTTTTTAAAAAAATTGCTTTTATTCTAGCTGAAATAAAACAGAAGAAAAAATATTACAGGAAACACTGTGAAAAATTTCTGGCTCTGTTAAACATTATTTGGAAAATAATTGTAAAAGAAAACAATTATTTTGACTTCAACTGTATATTTTTTATTCATGGCCCCAACAAGACTAACTATCTTATAAAAAAAGACTCAAAAAGGAAAGTAAAAATCTATTATTGTGAAAGGGTTATTGTTTAAAATACAACAAAAAGAAAAATACAATACAAAATACAAAAAAAAAGCTGTGTCTTTTAAGAAGGAGACGAGCGGAAAATCCGGATGTCAACATTTCCAGATGCGAAAAGATCTCGGATAAACAATGTTCCTTAGACACGTATTTCCGTTGAACGTCGCGTGCACTGCAATCCACACGTGAGTCCAGCTGCCCTCTCATAGCGGAAAAATGAAAACAAAACCTTTGATGTAGCAAATAAAAAAAGCAACACTGACGACTCCAAACAATTCGTCTTCTCCCACTTGTTTTGGCAACACAACGTGGTGTCTCTCTCTGCTGTCTGAACACTGTATCGGGTACTAAATTAGTCTTCGAAGCTATCATGCATATTAATGAAGTTGCACCGCATGCACAATAGAGCGTGCTGATTGGCAAGTCTTACTCATGAATGAATTCAGCACACTCAGAGATGTCACGAAGTACTCCCCGGTACAGAAGTGCAGTCTACATGCTGGAATACACGCTAATACACGGAAAAATTTGTTTCTAACCGGAAGAATAAATTTGCTTGAAATAACGCAAAAATAACCAATTTTCGATTTTTTTTGTGAAATATATGTGTACTAATAGTGTTTTTAGCAGCATGGGACAGATATATGACTGACAACACAAAAAAAAATTTTTTTTTGTTTGTGACCCTTTAATATGCTGTTTATTCTTGTGATCGCTGAATGTTCAGTGTCACGAAAAAAAAACTGTGGAAAAATTCTATGTTATAATGTTATAAATGTCTTTGTGGTACTTTTGGTTAATTTAATGTGCCCTTGCTGATTAAAACTATTATTTGCTTTTAAAAAGACTTACTGACGCCACAATATTGAATAGTGACCTGCACCACCATGCATACAGCACCATGTTTGATCTGCATTTTTGATGTGAAATCTAGTGATTTCAAATGTAACTAGCCAATTTCAAAATTTCACAAGATTTCTCCAAAATCTTTTAGTTTTGCAATTTAGTCACATTGATTTACTGTTGATTACTAATGACATTTGTAGATATCACCAGCCCCAGTTCAAACTAAAATATATATTTCTAAGAGAATATGTTTTTCTTACTAGAGTATCTCTGTTTTATTGTTTTGTTACAGGATTTGCACTTAAAGAATTTTATACATATTAAGAATCTTGTATTGATTTGATCATATTCTACTTGATTTTTTCCTCCTTATTATATATTTCTCTATATTACTTTTAAAAACCAAAGATAATTTTTGTTGTGGTTGAGAATGCGCACTTCTCACAGAGTTCAGTTAAAAGTCCAGCTAAATAATACATTTCTAAGTAAATATGTTTTTCTAACTGAAGTATCTCCATTTTAATATTTTGTAATAGGACTTGCATTCAAAGAACTTCACACATTAAGAATTCCGTATTTATTTGACATGTCTTTGATGTTTCCCCCTTGTTAAATATTTTTATGTATTAATTTTTAAAAACTAAAGAGCATTTTTATTGTTGTGGTGTGTTATAGAGGGATACAGAGTTAAATTGAATGTTCTTATTATATCCTTGCATTTGTGAGTTAATAAATATTAAACTGTTTCTATAAATTAGGCACAAAATATTGATATGGAGTCGAATCGAAATGTCATCACTGGCTAAGAGTATCAATATCGTATCGTACCACCATGATGACAAAGCTGATTTACACCCCTACTAAGAACACTGAAGCAAATCCTGGCTGCATTTACTTGCACTCAAATAATCTGTTCGAAAAGGTTAATAAAGCACTTAATTTTAGAAATGATTTGTAATCTAAATATAAGTTTTAATGATCCCTATAAGTAGTGTAATTGAAATAAAGTAAATACAATAGAAGTACAATATTACAAATAAGCAATGAAACAATAAAAATCTGGAAAGACATAATCATATTTTTAGGCCAAAAAGAGACAGTGGATATTATGAAAACTTTAATTGAAATTTTTAACATTTTTGTTAAATGAATTTAATGTTTTTCAAACAATTTAATCTGCAAAAATTATCATAAATATAAAATATAATAAAAAATATAATAAAAATATAACCATAAATATAAATAAACATAAATATTTAAAAAATTATAATTTAAAAAATGTGAACCTAAACTTTCTTAAGCGCAAACGTTTCAAGTGAAATGTATGTAAAACACATATAAACACATACATGTACATGTAAACAGATTTGCAATTAGATTAAATTCATATTGACAGACATTGGTGCATTTGAACTATTGTATGTTATTGTATATGTAATAATTATTTGTTTAAATGACAGCTTTGAGTGCAGGCTATACAGAAAGCGGCCTGAACAAGGCCCGAGAGCTCATGAAGGTGGTGAAGGATTGGTCTGAGGATGCGCTGCCCAATAAAAATGAAGTGCTTGGGAACCTGCACAGCTACATTGGTAAAGTCTGATCTATCCGTTACCGAGAACACAAGATTTAAACATACAAAACCTATCATGAAAACAGCCGCTGTACTCTATGCAGGCAATGCACTAATGGATCTTGGGAATATGGACAGAGCTTTGCATCATCATGAGAAAGATCTGGAGCTAGCCAAGAAATGGTGAGCAGGAAAATGAACTTTTAGTTTTTCCTAGTTGTTTAACAAACTGCAGTTCATCATTAGGTGTGTTTGGCTTGTGCTTTGTTTCATAGCGACCTGACAGACAGTAAATCCAGGGCTCTGGACAACATTGGCCGTGTTTACGCACGGATTGGCAAATTTCAGCAAGCTATAGAAGTGTAAGTGTGTTTGTCTTTCATTTATGTTTACATTGGAAGAAACTGTTGTAATAGTCATTTACTGTGTGTGTTCATGAATGTGTTTGTGTAGCTGGGAGAAGAAGCTGCCTTTAGCATGTGGCGGGTTAGAGAAAGCCTGGTTGTTCCATGAAATCGGCCGCTGTTACCTTGAGCTGAAGCGCTACATGGAAGCTCGAGACTACGGCTCCCGCTCGCTCATGGCCGCCGATGACATCAGCGATGAGAAATGGCAGCTCAATGCCAGCGTTCTCATGGCGCAGGCAGAATGTGAGTCCAAACCACACTCAAAAAATGATCAACCTACTTATTTAAAATGAGCTGATATAACACAATTCTTGAGATTTTTGGGAGGACAACTTAATTGTTTCATGTTTAATCTACTAAAACATCTAAAAACTAATAAGTTAACTTAACTCTTTCATGTTTTCCCAACACAAATCGATTTTGTGGAACCCAACACTTTTTAAAGTGTACACATTATTATTGCTGTTTGTTCAAAGTACTTATTCAAAATAAGCTGAAATAACACAATTCTTGAGATTTTTGGAGGGACAACCTAAATTTGTTAATTAACTTTGAATTTATTTGTGTTGGGATAACAGGAATTGTGTGAAACCCTGTATTTCTTTTACAATGTACACTACTTAGAATACCAGGAAGACCAGGCCCAGGTTGGCTAATCGGACGGTGGGCCGGTCTGTTTTTTGGCCGCGAGGGCCGGTGTCCCTAGCAGCTTGCACTCTCAGCAGTCACACATTTTTCATCTATTTATTTATTTGACCATAGCTTTACTCTTTTTATTCATTATTTTGCCGCAGCGTCACTCTTTTTATTTATTTTCTCACAGCCCCGTGAGAAAAATGCAGCCTGCGGGTTAACTATGGTTAATGATGATGATGATGTAACTATCGACCCCAAACAGCGGCACCTTAGTGAATATAAGAATTCAAATAATTAATAATAATGAATAATACACCTGCTCAATGAAAATCAAATGATTCACTACATTAATAAATCTGACATAACTTGATCAGAAATCTAAAAAGGGGAGAAAAAGATTGAACCATCAAAAGAAAGTCATGCTGTGTCTTAAGGGTCACAAGTCATTACTTATTTTTTATTGCAACTGTAGTAGCGCAATTGTGATCCAGTGGTAAGCACCTTGCGTTTTAACGCCGCGCACCCGTGTTCGAATCTCACCTGAAAAATTATTATACTTTTTTTTTTTCATTTTTATTGTAAAGACATATAAGACTGTTAGGGTTGTTGAACATTTGAATTTCTAAAGCAGCTGTTTTCTTGAAAAAGATGTGATTAGTGAAATTAGAAACTGAATTGGAATCAGTCGTGAACGGTCTGGCTTGAAACTCCAGGCCTGAAAATGAGTCCCACTCCGGCCCTGAGGAAGACTGATTTCTTATTAGAGACAGTAATCTTATTTGCGTTTACACATGACTGGTTTACTTTGGAAGATAAAAGAGCTAAAGTGTTTTTTTTTTTTTTTTGAATAAATTATTATTTTTATTATTTATATATATCATGATAGTTTCTTTGATGGTTTTTGATAGACGATGAAAACATCTTGTAATCATATCCTTATTCAGCAGATTTTTTGGGTGCGAAATCCAAGTATGCCTCGTCAAGTATGCTTTTACCCATTCTCGAAATTGTTCCTCAGCTTTTGACCTATGCAAGTGCACGGACGCATGTTGAATGAGAAGTGAGAGCACAAACACACATTGAGCATACACTCTGAGCAGTGGCAGAGCTCGTAAGATTCTAAAATCCCTGTTAGTCTTCCGGGCAGGGGTTTTTGAGTTTTTAAAAGACCAAAATATATTCAAGTGGCTCGAATAGACAAGATCACTTACTACATTACTTACTTACTTACTTACTTACTTACATTACTTACTAAATAAAAAGGAATACAAACATTACTGAATTAAAACAGTTTTGATGGTATTCATTAGGGGCTACACATATATTTTTTGAAAATAACCATGCTTTATTTACATTTTTTGAATTCTCCATGAAAAACAATTGGGAGGCCGACCTTTGATTGTTTGTTTTTCCAACTTCGTAGCGAAGTACCTTTTTTATTCAAACACATTGATAGTGGCCTCCTTCATCCATGAAAACTACATACAACATAACTACACAATTTGTGAAAGAATGCAAAAGCATTGAATTAGGCTACATTTGTCCTGCCATTATTAATTTTTGGTAGCCCGACAGGAAAATATAAAAGCTGTAGGACATCCCGCTAGCAGTTTTGTGATATATAATATGCTTATATAATTCTACAAATAGAATTAAGTAGGAAATTCAATAGAAACCCATGTCACTGGTAAGAATGAAAGAAATGAAATCCTCACACAGATTTTGTGTCATATTTAATCTTATAGTGTGTTTAAATGTTAAACAGCTTTACTAAAAGTATACACAGTACTCTACTTCTAGCTATTAATGCAGAAAAATGTCTGTTTAACCCTTTAACTGCCCACTCAACCAAATGGTTGACCATGTTTTGAATGTTTTACATGATGACTGTTAAAGTCATTTGAAGAATGACTGTTTTTAATAATGGTGTTTACACACACAGCTTTGTTGGTTTACAAAAACGATCAGACAAACATCCTTTTGCACTACTACACTTGATTTTGGTTTTATAAAAAAAAGAAATCTGAAATATTTTATGGCTTACTTTAAAAAATAAAGATGATTTAGAGTTCAAAAATGTTTTATTTTGATTATGTTTTTAAATAAATTGGAATTCTACTTCATATTATCAGATTTTTCATAGTACATGTATTAATTCTGGTACTTTTACTATAAACCGACATATCAACTGTTTGGTAGAAATGATTAGAATGCATTGAGTGTGTTAACTAGCAACATTAGGAGTAATAAATGCAATCCAAAGTTTTTTTCTTTATGTGATAGTTTAAGGGTTAAAGCATTCTAATTTAAATTACGTCTAACATTGTGTTAAAAAAGCCCATTTTGTATTAGCATTTACAGTAAAAGATGTTTAGTCCATTATAAGACACTTTTGTCATCTGTCACTTTAAATGTTGAGCTAATGCAATACATTATGATTGGCTGTCAATAGCTATGTTTTCATTAAGTTTCTGTGTTAACGCAAGACTTTTATCGGGCGATTAAAAAAATATCATCGTTAATCTATTCTCAAAGTTGGGTTGGGAGCTGGGTCTATTCTACGCAAGCTATAATGACTTTCACCTTGATATTTTAGCATGGATGTGTACCTGACCGGTGAGCAGTCTGACAAAAAAAAGTGTCATTCTGTATCAAATCAGCTGGATGCCCTTATGGATCTTTTACTTACTTCGAAGACACTACTGACTACGCTTACATGGACATCTGTAATCTAGCTATTTGCCTTAATAGACAATAATATAATTAAGGTGTTTACGTGAAGTGCTTTCATGTAAGTTTCCTGTAATTTTGGGTGACTTTAACTGCAGTTCAGCAGTTTCAATTTCACTCATAAACATTTCATTCATGCCGCTGTGACAAACTGGGGCTTTAGACGCAAATATAGAGTAAGGACTGGTGAGAGTGTTATGCAATTTAATAACGCAGGCGTAATGGAAAGAAAAAGTTCACCATTTCACGATTTGTCTGTTTGTGTGTATGTGCGTTCCTCTAGTGACAGTAGCGTGTGGATCTTGTTGGAAATAAGGCTGTACATGACTGTAATAGTTTGATTGCGGTGTTTACTTCAATAATACCACTAATATCTGCATACTCCACATGTCTTAATTCCATTTCTGTTTAGTTCAGTTATGACTTTAGTCGGATTAAGGTGATCAAAAATCGCTGTTTCGAGCTTGTGTAGGCCTACAGTTCAAAATTCATGTTTAACTGAATAAACAGTTAGTAAGCACATCTTATTGAACATCATTTATTTTCATCACCAATTATCATAGAACAGTTTCTCAACAGGCGATGAGCCCCTGGCTGTTTCCAAAATGCATCACATGCACCACCTGGCTTGAGAAACCCGTTCTCAAAGACTTACTTTTAGTAATTTTTTGGGTATTATATTACATATAATAAATTACATTGGGTAGAATATTACATATTCTGAATGCCTTCGGCAGAATTCAAATGAGCCATTTTAATCTAGATTAATCTGGAGTAATTCCAAGATAACAGTGAGATTAATCGAAATTTTAAAAAATAATCTATGCCCACCTATAGTTTCCATCCACCTATTTTCATGCACATTTTGGATATGCGCATAAAAAAACAGTTGATGGAAACGCCAAGATGTGCATCAATTTTGAAAAATGTGCATAAAAAATGTATGCTTATAATTGAGTAGGATAAACTTTTTATTCAATAACCAAATATGTGCATTACCAAACTAATTCCAGTGTACGCAATAAACAAATCATGTGATTTTGTTATAAGAGACCATGTGATGATAAAATATGTGTGTGAATGGACAAACCAGCAGGCTGAGCACACTGTAAAACATCAGAAATGTGGTTTTAATCATTTTAAAACGCCTTAACCGTTTCAGTATTAGTGTTATTATATTATTAATGACCTCCAGAACTGTTAAGAGCGCAATATTATTAAATAAAAGAAAAGATTCACGCAGCTTCTTCTACCTCAGCAAATTCTGTTTTTACTGTTGATATTTGGTGCCAGTTAATCAGGAAGCGACGATTTTGTTCTCTTTGACTCTCTTCTCTTCCAGTTTAATTTGCTTCTTTGGATAGAAACATAGCTAGTGTTTTATCTGTTGTTTCTCAGTTAGAAAAACTAAGTAGTGACTCTAATAGGTTTTGGGGGTAACACATTACAAGTTACATAAATTATGTAATCAGATTATTTTTTCATGTAACTAAAGCAACAGATTACTTTAATTCCTAAGAAAATATCAGAGTTACTTTTTCAAAAATCTATCACCAGTTACTTTTTGTTTTCCCCTTTATTGACTAAGAATTTCAAACCTGTATGAGTTTCTTCTGTTAAACACAAAGGGAGTTATTTCGAAATATGTTGGAAACCTCTAACCATCAACTTCCATAGTATTAATTTTTTTCTACAAGTATTCAGTTACTTCAGTTTATCAGTTTATACTTCAGTGGTTTGGAACCACTTAAAGGGCCATGAAACCCCCTCGTTTCAGCAGGGTGTTTTCACACCTCTTCTTTGGAAAAAGTCAGAAAAGTGGGGGTGTCCAGCTCTGTTTAGGGGGGAGTGTCGGAGAAACTAAAGTGGGAGGGTGTGGGAGTGTCTATTTGGGCACGCGCGAGTTTCAGTCAAAATACACAGGAGAAAGGGATGGTGTTTAACCTACATGGACATCTGTAGTCGAATTATTTGCCAAATTATTAAATGTTGGACTTTAACTGCAGTTTGGCTCTTTCATTCAGGGAATTCATTCATGCCCCTCGCGACAAATGAGATATTTGATTCGAGGATCTGCTCTATGCGTGTATTTTTCATGCAATGTTTGTTACCGCACAGCGAATGAGAGAAAAAAACCCTCAGCATTTCCCGGAAACTTAGATGCACACGGCAGGTAGCGTCCGAAAGCCGCGTGTGTTATTCCGGTCACAAAATGCGGTGCTAACATGTTTGCACTCAATGCAATAGTTAACTTATTTGATACGAACAAACTGAATATACAAAGAGCACTGGTCACTCACTTACCAAATCTGTAGAGACAGGACAATCACCAGCAACTAGAGCCGCGTCTTTATGAAGAGAAGACTACATCCGGAATCCGGATTTTAGCGTTTGCAGATGAGAACAGCTCTCAGGTAAACAATAATCCTCCTTAGACACGTAAATTATTGTTGTTGAGCGTCGCGTACACTGTAATCCACACGTGATCCAGATGAGCTCTCACAGGGAGAAAATGAAAACGAAACTTAATGGCAGCAAACTGTAAAAGCAACACTTCACGCTTGTTTTGCCAACACAACGTGGCGTCTCTGTGGTGTAAAGACGGTGACACTAATGAATATTAATGAAGTTGCACAATAGAGCGCGCTGATTGGTTTGAACCAACCCTTACTCATGCATTAATGCATCACACTGTAAGACGTAATAAGGCACACTCTGGCACAGACGCCCAGTCTGCACGCTGGAATACAGGCTATTATGTCATGACCGTGACGCAGCTTCAAAAATTCGTTTCAAACGGGAAGTACGAATTTGCTTGAAATAACGCAAAAACAACCAATTTACACTTTTTAGTGAAATATAGGTGTCCTAATAGTGTTTTTAGCAGTGTGGGACACATATACGACTGTCAACAGCTCAAAAAATGTGTTTTGGTGTTTCGTGACCCTTTAAGGCGGGGTAAATAGTGAGT